GGGGTAGGTGACAATGAGCAACCACTCAGACAGACAGTCATTGTGTTGGAATGGAGGCATAATACAACCTCAGGTCCTTTTGGCAAAACATTAAAAGGCTTCTCTCCTTCTACAGTGGAGTTGGCTGACCTCATTAGAATACCATTCTCTTGCTTGTTTGAAGTTTTATTGTGGAGTTTTAAGTCGGTAGATGCATGACAAATTAATGAAGTAGTGCATAAGGTGTGTACCGAATGCCTTTCTGAGGTAATGTGTGTCGCTATCTTGTCTGTGCTTGTGAATGCTCTTTTGTTAGCAGTCAAATATCGGATTAAATGGCTCACATTGCTGTTTGATTTTCATCTTTGGTCTCCGTCCACTGGATTCACTGGTGCCATATTTATCAAGGCCACCCAGCCTTTATGTACTTATACAGATACATCTTTTTGTAGTGAGACTTTGTGCCAGTTGCACTCTTGCCCTTATCCACACTTTCTCTGGTCTGAGATTTTTATTTTTTCGACCTCTTGCTCTAGTCTTTACTCTTGTTGATGAACTCTAGCTGCACAGGACATGTGATCCAGGGGCTGAATGAAAGAGGGGGATGGAAAGGAAAAAGAAAATCACAGGACTGGAACAGAGCATTAATCCAGAGCAAGAAAGAAGGGAGGGAGTTAAGGGTGAAAATAAGCAGGAACAGGAAAGAGGATGAAAGTGGAGAAAGGGGGTGAAGGACTTTTAAAACATGGATCTTTGCCAGGAAGATGTCACCTTTATTCACTGTCAGAACTCCTCTGATCAACATCTTTTTTTAATTATTAAAACTGTCTCACCACTCTTAGGGAGCTGTTTTAATCAAAAAGCCCATTGCTCAGTATTTCCTCATTGTTACATGTGAAAAAAACTTACTCTCAAAGATCTTAAAGTTTTAATTAATCAGTTTTAATGCATCAGCTCCATGCAGGTTCAAGGCCTGTCCTCTTAAATTACTGTTAAATCATTTTTCAGTAAAAGAACACTGGAGCTTTTCACTGTCATTTTCCAGTGTGGTTTTACTGTAGGTTGTTTTACAAGAAAATACAGAATGCACTTGTATGTTTTGCTTTTTTTAAATAAGTGAACAGTCCACATTGAATTAAATAATCAAAACTCTTATTTGTGCATTTGATATCTGTAAATAACCAAAAATTATACATTTAACAGTACAAAGTCATTCTAATGCACAGATCCGGGAGTAATCTAACCAGAAGCAGCAGCATTTTCCAATATTCAACTACCCCAGTTTTTCAGCGTTAGTTGCCATAATTATACAATAGGAATTGTCACGAGTGGATGTGTCTTCAAGCTGCATGAGTCCTGGTTGACAGTCCAAGTGTAATCAATTAAAAAATGCAAGTTCATTTGCATCAGTTATATGTAATGCACTCCAGCAGAGGAGAAGCTCAAAGTAGGAGAGGGTGTTGGTCTGCACATTTCATTTTGTTTGAGACCTTAAGGTGTTCAGTCCTCTGTGCTTGCCAAATAATAATCAAACTGAACTCTAGATGCCTGGCTTTTCTAAGCACCCATCCTTGGAGCCTCTTTTTGGATTACCTGTTATTGGAAAATCTCCTAAACCCCCATCCATCACCCCCACCCACAGTCTGCCTTTGTGTCCTCTCCTCTGAACCCCCTCTCCAACCTTCCCACCGTGTTCTCATTTTTCTATCTGTGTCCTGAGCCCAGTTGAGACTCCGGAACAGCTCGGAGGTTGCGTGTAATTGTAAGAGGCGATCTACCGCTGTAGAATAATGGGCTTCCTCTTCTTGCACTGTTAACAGACTTATCATAACAGGATTATTTCCCCGCCGCAGAACTCACTTCTGGATCTTGTTAGAGAGCTATCTGGGAACTTCTTTCTCCTGTCAGGCCCATTCTAAATGATCTTAGTCCAGTTGCTGCAATGTGTAGGGCGGGCTCCCACAAGCGCTGGGTGTCTTTACAGTTCCTGTCAGAACAAGTGAGGCTGCCTTTAAGCTATTCAGCATCATTTAATAGCTTTAGAGACTGAGGATACGGTGTAACGTGACCCTGGGTTGACCCTCACACAAGCTGCCTGCAACACTATTGGAGTTATTTTTGAATGCCAAAATCAAATGCCTTACTTAGAGCCTCATGAAAGACTATCAGAATGATTTCAGGCACTTGAGACTTTTCTATATTTAGTGGCGACGGCTGTTTTTTTTTACTACTTGTGTTGTGATACTGACAGCAGAGGAAGATGTTGGTAATGAGGAATAAATAGCGGGCTGTGAGGGCTGAGTGAGGGACGGTAAAAGTGTTTTCACTTTCTCAAAGGAATGTTACAAGAAGGAGGGGAGGCTTTCAATAACTTCAAGAAACAACCAGTGAGCAACATGAGAGGGGGGGGAATTAGCCTTTGAGATTTGTTGCCAGAGTACCCAGAACAAAACCCTGCCCCTGGAGGTCACGGCTTAGGGGTGGTCACCGTTGATGGTCGCAGAGGGTTGTTAATTCTATTATCCCTGCCTGAGAGGTGCTTGTCAGGGTTTGGGCTGGAGAGGGGGAGGAGTTTGAGGTGGCCGCATAAAACGTAAAGGGAGGTTGTGAGGCCTGGCTATTTTGGCATGGAAAGTAATCACATACCACACATATCTTTTCTCCTTGACTCATGTGTACTCACAGAGTCCGCTTTAACTCCCATACCCTCCCTACATCCGGAGACAACTTCAGAGATTAGTCAGAGAGGAGTGAATTGGCATTGCTAAATTACCCAGCTGATTGATTATTAACAAGATTTAATAGAACATTCTCTTCTGAATAATCAACTTAAATTGATCTCTAAACCTTACAAAAGCGTTTGTGTGTACAAAACTAGGAAAATCAATTATGTAACCGGGATTAAAGTAGTGAAAAAACCTTTATTTCCACTGGAGTGTTATCCAGGTTAAAAGTCACAAAACAGTGATCCTTTATCTGTACTTCTCTATTGCCCCTCTACAATTATGATTCGAAGGGATTCCTTTTCCATTAATCTATTGTGTGGTTTGGAAGTGAAGAGATACTTAAAAAAAAGAAAGATGAACCTTCTAAGTCATGTTGTGTTAAGTTGTATATGCTGTACCTGCATTATACTGATGTCAGAGAAGACTAATGCAGCAGGCAGAGAAACAGAGAAAATCAGTTTAAATTCCAGCTGACAAACTTATTTATAGCAGGAGCCACAGAAGAGTGAATAAAACAACGACAACCTCAAAAGATGCCATAATGGTTGAAGTAAATGCTATACATAGTGACCTTCATTCCATGTCACTTTTCACAATGAGACAAATATTTCACTCTTTTCTTAACCAAAGACCACCCGTATTGAGAAGCAATACGGGTGGATGTCCCTGATCGGCTGTGATCCACAATTCCACTCTAAACCATAAAAATCAATAGTGAAATAGTAAAGAAGATAGAGGGACGAAGAAAAGTAAAACCACTAACCACCTTTTAAATATTTTCAGTAATGCCCAGGGTACATTGACCAGTCACCTTGCATGCAGTGATTTTCTTTAGTTTGTTCAGCTCCCTGAATGCCTCCCTGATTTTGCACACTGATAGTACGTACTCTATCTGCTGTTAACAGTAGGTAAGAACTGACAGCTTCACACAACTCCTCTTTAAAAACAAAAACCTTCATAGGTTTTCCCTCAGGTTAAAGTTCAAAGCCTGCATACTTCCTCCTCTTCACACTGTTCAGTTTTCATTATGAATCTGTCAAGTTACTTAAGGAAGTTGCAGAAGTTTTCCAAACTCTTTTAGAATCCATTGAGAGTGCTTTAAACCCCGAGGTCCCCGCTGCCTTTAATCTTATGTGTGATTTCAACTGTTTTCTTTTGAAGAAGTGAGAAAATGAAAACAAAAAAGAGGAACTTGTCTGATTTTCACATTTTAACTATTTATTTTTTTCTTTGTTTGTGTTTCCATGCACTAACATGTTCAAAAGTAAAACTATAGAATCTGTTTTTTAGATATGCACCTTGATGCATCCGTTTTGTGTGAACGGGCCAAAGCGTTGAAATCAGTGAGCGTCGGCATGAATGTGTTTGCCCTGGCATAAAGTTTGCAGTCATAGCACCAAAGGATTATTCCACTTGGCCAGATGGGCTTGGGCATGGCACAGCAGGCTGAGGATGTGTGTCCCCCGTCTGTTCCCCTGGGTAACAAAGGCTGATAACACAATCTGCAAATGGAGGAGTTAATCTGCTCCAACTCATTGTGTTAGTAATGTATGTTCATGTTTCTCCTCCTAAAAATAGTACAGAATATAACTGAGGCTATTGTTTGTTTCTTCAAAGCTGTTTTGATAGGTGAGGGTATTGTAATGGTTGTACAAGGAATTTCAAAGACCTTCAGAGTTGGTACACAGATGTCAGCTAACAGTTTGAGATAAGGACGTTCACGTGTGCTGACTGTTGCCTGTTCCTGTTCTTCTAACCGGCATTGCTCCCAGCTTTTCCTGGATCCTAATTTTGTCTTCCTGCCTCATTAATGACATTAGCAGTTAGCTCTGCTGTCAGCAGAGATAAACAGCCACTAGAAGATGAAGATGTGTCAACAAATTGCAGTGAATGTGTCGTAGGGATTGAGCTTTTATGAGCCTGTCATCTAATATCTACAAATAATTTGGCATTATGGTCGCAAAGGACACTGTTTTTAATGGTATAGTGTTTGAATGTCAAGCAAATATATCATAGAAAGGTTCAGCGTCAATACCATGTCCTTCATTGTGGTCTTGTGCTTGTGTCCCACACAAGTGACGTGGTGGGCCTGTTGTCCTGTTAGGACCTCTCATGTAGTGGAAACCCACCTAAACGGGATTTCTACACTGAACATGTTAGTGCATATTTTATTGTGACTATTGTGTTACAACTGACAGGACTTGCATACCTATATGACCATTGTGTTGCAACACAGAGATTTAAAAGCTTTTAAAAAGCCACATTTTCTATTTTTAATTAAAAATCCTTATTTTTCTCTCTCATCAGGGTTTTTGGTGCGTCTGACGCTGTCAGGCTGCCATGGCTCTGGTTCAGGCCCTACCTGTGAGTGACCACCCTAATCCAGGTCTTGAAGTCCAGCAGTGTGGACCGCTGTCTTCCCATTCCCCCTCCGGCACCTGTTCCGGCTCCTGTGGACCTTGCGGTCCAGACACAGCCATGGGTTCAGTCAGCAGTCTCATATCGGGTCGGACGTACCAGGAAAGGCACTGTAGGGCCGCCAGCGAATTCGCCACCAAGCCACGACGCTCCACGCCAGCTACCAGTTGCTTCCGGCTCCAGGATAACACCCTCCGCAGTGGGAGCTCCCTTGAACAACTGCTGGTCATCAGCAACCAAACGCAGCCTCGGGCCCAGGTTTTGCCTCCACCACTGCCCACCAAGAAGCAGCCACGACCTGGAAACTCTGCCGGGGCGGGTGGGGGTGGAGCAGTTGATGGAGCTGCAGGTTGCGGGACTAATGGGAACTTTGGGTTTGTGAGTGAAGGGGTGGTTGGAGACTGGAATGACAACCTGGTGCTCACAGCTGCCAGCCCCTGCAGTGACTCTGAGGAACAAAGGGACAACAGGACTCTGAATGGCAACATTGGCGGACCGCCTCCCAAGCTCATCCCGGTGTCTGGACAGTTAGAGAAGGTGAGTAATAGATTCTAAAATGATAAATTAGCATGCCATTTATTGTCACTGTTACCTTTTTATGTGTGTTATAAAGGTTTACTTAAATAGCAACAATATTATAACAGATAAGCCTACAATTTGTGTTAGAAAATTCAAGAAAAGGATATTTCCCTCCTAAGCTGGTCAACAGCTTTATATAATGTCCTGCAATTTTCAGATGGTCTAAGGGACTTAGAAATCTCCTCTTCCCTTGTCATTATAGACTTTTACAAGTATGGTTCATGGTGTTATGATGTTAAGAACCATAAAAAAAAAAGAACCATTGACATGCGGAAATGTAAAAAACTGGTTTTGAAATCTTACCTATGAATGGTACAATGCGAACAATAGGAGTTGACTTGTATTTGGCAGACTTTTTCATTGGTCGTGATGATCATCTCATTTCTGTTACAAGCCGTTTACAAAACATATTTTAACCACATTGCAGTCCTCTTAGCATGTTCTGTAAACTAATAAGGTAATAATATGTTGTTAGCAGCTTAAATGCATGCATGTGAAGGTGGAGTAGAAATCAGAACCAGAACCTTCCTGGAAGTCTCAAAGTGACTGATCAGCATGACACTGAATCCCTACGAGGTTTCTCTGCGCATTTTAGTCCTTGTCCCTGACCTTTATGTTGTGTTCAATTACAGCTCAAGATTCCACTGTGTCATATTAAGTATCATAAGTAACATTAGATTTTTTTTCCCATTTAGTAGTGCAAAATCTGATTATTATGTTTTAGTTATGCCGTATCTTATTATAGTTCGTGGAAGTCAACAACCTAAACCACTTTATTTATCTACTGCCATTAAAAGGGATGAGTTATAACATTAGTCTTTCAATTTCTATCACAATCTAACATTCATCATTTAGCTTTTACATTTGTATTCAACCAAATAAAGAACCTTGAACTTTTTTTCCGGTATAGAGATTAAGGGGGTAGAATTAATTGTATATCGACACAGTATTGTGAGGCAGATATGGACATCTACACTATACTTACAATTTGAAGCAAATGAACTCAGCTGTCAAGTTGGTTATTTATTTCTATTGATCCAGAGAGAAGCTTAATCACTACCCCGACAGGCTCAGAAGGATCATTTTACAACTACTCACCTTGCAGACACATCATGATCAGTGTCAGAGCTCACATACAGTCAATGACGTATTTAGTGAACCCTGCTGAAGATCATTACAAAATGCTTACAGAACAAAAGAAGCTTACAGCCTCTCTGTCCTCTCTTTTCGCTCTCCTCTTTCTCCTTCGTTACTCTGCCCTTTAATCAGATTTCTGTCACTGCTTTCTGCCCCTTTCTCTGTATCTCATACAGTAGGAGACATTGAAAAATGTAACCTCTGAATTCAGATATATGCATTTATAAGACACTTTAATCCTAAATAACTTTTCAATACATCTAAGAGAACAATTTACTAAATATTTATTAGTTATGATATCAGAAGTGTGTTAGAGGTAGAGAGGTATTCTGAGGTTTGCAGAAACCATGAAGACAAATTTGGGTATCATCTGCATCGAAATGATACAAGAATCCAGCATAATGCGTTTCAGTTGAATTCAAATCAGCTAATTTGATTTAATTATAAGTCAGAAACCCACGAGCATATTTAAGTGGCACACAAAGCAAAGCCTGAAAAACCTATCCCGGCAGGCTGCTCTGTTTTGCCAACTCCGATTTTTGGAGTGGTCAATATCATTGTAACGTCATGTCAGTTCCACTTTTCTAATGTGTTTCATTCACTGGTGACCATTTTTTGTTTTCTGGTTTTGTATTTTCAGAACATGGAGAAAGTGTTAATCCGGCCAACTGCGTTCAAGCCGGTCGTTCCCAAGAATCGCCACTCTGTGCAGTACCTGTCACCAAGGCCAGGTGGCGGCAGTCTTTCCGAGAGCCAAGCCAGCCTAAATCTCCTGCTGCCTCTTGGAGGGACCAACGGTGCGAGCGGCACAAATGGCAACATTGGAAGCGGCAATCCCAGCTCTGAGGGGAAGCGTAACTCATTCAGTGGAGGTCGCAATGCCCGTAGCAGCCAGTCCTGCTCCATGTCCGATTCAGGGAGGAACTCCCTGTCCAGCCTCCCTACCCACAGCAGCACAGGTTACAGTTTGGCCCCGAGTGAGGGCTCCAGCTCAGGGTCCGGCTCCGGGGGCCACGTGGAGCCTGTGACAGGCCTCGGCCGCACCACCTCGGGTGGGAGCGGTAACCATGGCCACAGTAATTCAGACAGCGGGCGGTCGTCATCCAGCAAGAGCACGGGCTCAGGGTCGTTGAGTGGGCGCGGGCAGCCCCTGTCAGACAGCGGGTCGTGTGGTCACTCGCCACCGCCCGTGGAGGGATATGAGGCAGTGGTGAGGGAGCTGGAGGAGAAGCTAAGGGAACGAGATCTGGAGCTGCAGCAGCTCCGGGAAAACCTGGATGAGAATGAAGCGGCTATCTGCCAGGTGAGACCCCAATGACCCCATGGTGCCGATTCATTTCTTTCCAAGGGTTTTTCGTGAGGTCGTCCGGAGTCTAACCTCCGACTTTTGTCATCTGCTGTGAAAGGTGTACGAGGAGAAGCAGCGTCGCTGTGAGAGAGAGATGGAGGAGCTGAGACAGAACTGTGCTTCAAAGATGAAGCAGGCCTCTCAGAAGGCCCAGAGAGCACAGCAAGTGCTGCAGTTACAGGTAGTTCAGAGGCACCAATTTACCTCAACTAATCTGAAACAGAAGTATTTTCGTAAAAGAAAAGAAAATTGTGTCTCTAGTGCCTTTAATTTTGTACACAAACTGCGCTTTTTTTCATTGTCACTTATTACTAATTTATCATTCGTTTTGCATTACTTTTGATAAACACATCTGTCACACATGTTAGTAGACACGAAAATATGCATCGGTGTGTGTTTTCAGGTGTTTCAGCTACAGCAAGAAAAGAAGAAACTCCAGGAGGACCTCACCTCGCTGCTGCAGGACAGAGAAACACTGGAAAGGAGGTGTGCCACTATCCAAAGGGAACAGACTCAGCTGGGCCCTCGTCTGGAGGAGACAAAGTGGGAGGTGGGTTACATTCAGACACAGGATTGGATAGCTTGAATTTCCTCAGAAAAAAAGGAGATGAAACCAGGTTAATAAAACACATTTTAAATAATTTTATCTTCGCCCTTAAGGAAGCTAAATACAAAATGTCATGCTGTAGTCTGCCCCAAGATATTAAAATGTGCAGTTTTGAAGGGCTTTTCAGCTCACTCTTAAGGGTATTCCCTCCTGTGTCAGGTATGTCAGAAGTCAGGGGAGATCTCCCTCCTGAAGCAGCAGCTAAAAGAGATCCAGTCTGAGCTCAGCCAGAAGGCAGGAGACATTGTCGTGTTGAAGGCCCAGCTGAGGGAAGCTCGTTCCGAGCTTCAAGCGAGCCAGGTTCGAGCCCAGGAGGCCCAGACTGCCCTCCGTACGAGGTCGCTGGAGCTGGAAGTCTGTGAGAATGAACTCCAGAGGCGCAAGAGCGAAGCCGAGCTGCTCCGGGAGAAAGTGTGCCGATTGGAGGAGGAGTCAGCCCGGCTCCATGACTCCATGTCCAATCACAGCGGACCCCCGCTACCTGGAAACGCAACCATGAAGGGCCACTGCATGAGCCTGTCACACCAACAGGGCCGAGGTGTGGGAGGAAGGGGGGGTCCCAGTCCTGCAATGTACCGCGATGTAGACGACAGTCACCTGGTTTGGGGAGGAGAGAGCGACGAGGCAAAGGCACAAAGGCAGAATGCAGAAACACTGCTGGGACTCAGACAGCAGGTACACGGTTTTATTTTGCTTTTTTTTCCTGTAGCTTTTCTAGACATAACTGACAAAGAGTTCCGAGATTTAATGTGACGTAGTGCATATTTGAATCTATGGACACACCTGCTCTGGTTGTGCTTTAATAATTTTTTTATAAATTGTTGTAAAAATGTTATTTATTTTCATCCAAATCAAGATATTTTGTTGTTGTAGAAGAATAAGGGATATGTTTAGCACTGTTATACCAGAGCCTTTAAGCATATACAGTCGAAATAGAATAAAAATAATGCTTTCAACGCAGAGATTTCACAGTTTCTGCTTATTTCAGGTTGACAGACTGAAAACTGAGCTCATGTACGAGAGGAGGACGAGTGAGGAGCAGCTGTCACGGTTTGAAGACGAGAGGAGAGTATGGCATGAGGAGAAGGAAAAAGTATGCATTTCCAATTCAGATTCTCTCTTCATATATATTACCCTGTAATCCTCCTTGGCTATTTACTCACATAGCATTACGCCCCCCTTCCCCAGGTAATTCGCTACCAAAAGCAGCTGCAGCAGAACTACATCCAGATGTACCGTCGCAACCGTGACCTGGAGCGAGTGATGAGGGAGCTGAGTCTGGAGCTGGAGAACAGGGATATGGAGGATTACGAGGTTCGCAGTGGCAGCAATGACATCCACTTTGAAGAAATCACTGCCACCGAGATCTGAACACACACACGTTGACAGGAAAAGTGTGCACAGTAACATGGAAACACAACTCACTCAAGTCCCCGAAGAAGCAAACCAAACAGTGAACTCTGGGCCAAATACTGCACTTATCTTCAAGGTGGCGTTACCTGGAAGAAACTCACACCGCATGTCACTGTCACAGGGGACATTTCTCTCAAAGGTGCACTTTCAACTTCCTGCTAACAGAGACTTTATCCATTATGAGTCCTAATAAAGTGTCTCCTACAATGCTTTTAATAAGTTTTATATCACTACAAAGCCAGCACAAAGACTCATTTTGTTTGGGGAAACTGAAAGCAGTGAATTAAGAACGTCCTTTGTCAGACCACTTTCAAATCAGGGTAATGCAAAAAAAAACTAAAGAAATTAATAAATGTAGCGCTATCTGGTCAAAGAGCAGTCACAAGCTCCACTGGCCACCAGCATGCGAGTGACCACAGCTCACTAAATTCCATTCATGATCACCCATCCAAATTGTGCTCATTTTCTCAAATTATTATCAGTGCTTTTCGTACCTTGTGGGCTTCATGATATCACCTACTCACTACACAAACTATGAAAAAGGGTTTTGTTGTTTTGGAGGCATTGTCTCAATGGTGTGTATTTGATAAAGAATGTCCATCGCGTCAGAAAGACACAGTCTCAAAAGTTAACAGTTAATCAGTTTACTGTGGGCAACATGGCACTGTTTTATACAACTTTCTTACCCTGTTTTGTTTGGAATACAAATGCTCATGCAACAAAAATAATCCAATAAGAAACTAATCAAATTTTATATATCAGCTCTTGGTTTGTTTATATGCGCAAATCCTATTCTGTTACTTCCTAAACAATGGGAACACAAATATGAAACCTTCCTTGGAAATGCCTCATTTGAACTCTGGTCAAGTTTGCTAAACCACCAACAGTCCTGTTGCAGCACTCGACAGATGTAAGCTTTTTCAGACAATGCTGCGAGTGTAGCAGGACAGACATCCCTAGGATGCTGCTGATTCCTCTCTTTCTTTGTCTTTTTGGTATATTTTCTCTCGGTTTTTCCCCCTCCAACCTGCTTTTATAAGAACATCTCAACAGTAGGTATGATGAAACTAAAAATGAAGCGTATCCACAGCATTGCAGTCTGGTTGTGATGTCACAGAGATTTATGGCATGCCTGTTTAGAGTTTAATGTTTCTTCCCTGTCAATCCCGATAGTGCCCTTTATGTAGCAACTGGCAACCCAAAGCCAAATGACACTTTGAGTATTCCTACTTCCTGCTAGACTCTGTTAGAATGACTGTCTGCTCTACAGGTAATGAGTGTGGCATGTCTGCATGTCTTTATTGTACGAGATTCCAAAAGAAACTGGCTCAGGTGAGGGGAGAGTCTGCAGAGGCTTCAGCCGGGAATATGCACCGAGCAGTCACCGTTTGGGGAGTGAGTAAACCTCCAAAGCTGTGGGCTTCTTTCCTCTCTTTTCTCATAGTAAATGCAGGGTTGTGACGCTGAGTATGGAATTAGAGAGCGGCTGAGAACTTTATTTTGCAAAGAGTCTTTATTGAGGAATAATAGTTACATGGAAATCTATATAATGGAGATGTTGTATATTTTTCTATATATGCATATAAATATGAAAATATATATTTCACATCTGAAGACATTTAGTTGTAGTGCTGGTTTAAGTGAGAGTTCATGTGTATCAGCTGCCAATATTTCAACTGATGGATCAATAAAAAAATGGAGGCATCAGCATAGAAAACGTGCACCTAATACTTTAATGCATGACAAGTTAATGTTTACATTATTTAGTCTGTGTGGGAAACAGTGCATTCTATTGATCAGACCCATTGAAAACCGGGTGATAATTGATAGATGATTCAGCTCATTTTAGGTCTGTTGTCTCTCCATTTTGATTGATCTTTCACTTGATTTTCAGTATGACAAGATCCCAGACAGTCATTTCTTTTATTTTTGGGGTTTAATCATTTCCTTCATTTTTAAGTGCAAGTGATTTATGTCTTTTTGACAAATGCTATCTCTTTCAGAGTCAGACTTGAATGAGCCAAAAGCATTTGTTTTCTTGTGCTTGGAAATTCAGGCTAACTTCACTGATATGTTTGACCAGGCTATTTGTTGCATGACGATACCATATGCAAAATGGTACAAAACACATTATTGAGTATTAAAAGCCTTGACTATGAATAGACTCATATGGTTATGGCGTGGGAAGTGGCCAAGTTTTGTTTGTCCAGACCGTTCACTCTGATCAGACATGGACTGTTACTCATCACAAATCCACCTAAACAACAAGCAGAGGTGATGCTACACAAAGTGACTCACATGCTGAAAAGTTTTCCATTTCTTCCTCATTACTTAGTTCTTCAATGTTACTTTTCCTGTGTAAATATGTAAAACACTAAATAGTATAACAAAGTCACATTGTCTTTTATTTAGTCAAATTATCTATTTCAGATGTAGCCACTGTGACTAGACCAAAGCAACGTAATACAATTCTTTCTATTTTCTTTGTGCTGTTCTTTTATTTTTCATCCTCTTGTGGGCTTGTTTGCTATCACTGTGTTTTCATTAAGTCAGAAAGTATGTAGCTGTCCATGTATATTTTTCTGTGTACATTTCTTGTACAAATGACTGTTTTTAATTAAAGAGCAAGTTGTCACACCTGAACATGTCTGCTGTCATTGTTACTTCCTAACTGGAAAATAACAGGATTAAAAAGTGTGCTGAATGTGCATTTTGGGTTTTGAAGTCATCTTTTTCTTTTTTGCAGATCTGTAATAATAAACTATATTCATATATAAATGTTGTATATTCTTGCATACTTTGGAGGATTTCTATAATTTTTTTAGCATTAATGTAAAGTACAAAAGTGACAAATGATGTAGGGTTTCCAAACGTTATAACATAACTGCATTTTGCAATACTTGTAAAACACAAACAGTTTCATATATACACATGCAAAATGTGCAGATATAAGCATTTCACCTTAGAATAATTTATGGCTCACATCTTATCAGGGTCTTCCCCCAGTTTTCCAAAGGAGTACGGCTCCAGGCCTGTCTCGCTGCATTTATCTCCTCAGTCCTACATAGACTTAAACTGTGCCACCGGCCTCCATGTCATGCATTTCACTTTGACATGTTTTTCCAACTCCTCCACATCCCTGCATAAGCTCTCTCTGCAGCATGGTGTAATTAAACCACTAAAGTGGTAGATTGCTTCAGAGAAGTTCTTCTGCCAAAACAAGCAGCAATTTTGTAATAATCCCCAGAGACATACTCTAAAACCGAACTACCAGTTTTGACATTGTACAGGGGTTTAATCTGAGTATTAATCTATAAATCTCATAACGCAGACCAGGGTAATCTCCCTCTGGCAGCTCTGTAGGCTTCAGAAGTGTAAAGTGCAGACCACTCACTCCCATCAGATAGAGCTCAGAGGTCTCCTCATGGCTGCCTTACGCTGCACAGTGGCAGGCTTTAAAACGACGACAGGTTTATGAATAGGATAATATTGTCATCAAACATTACATTCAATTAGATTAAAAATAATAAAAGTGATAGAGCTTAAAAAAATCTTCCCCTGTGGGGGTTCATGAATAAAGATTCATACCTGAGGCTCCAGGCTGCCATCAACATGGTTTTGCGAAATGAGGCCTTTTAGCAGGAGATTTGAACTTTTCCCCTGTGTCTCTCCCTGTGTGTGTGTCTCTTGTTCACAGTGGGAATGGTGGCTGGCGGTGCTTTCATCACTCATCATCCTCACCTGTGGCTGATCCTGTGACTGCTGCTTAGATGCCTCAGACTTGTCTGTTTGTTAGTTATCTGAAGTGTTACCGTAATGGCCACATCCCCTTTTTTTTACTTGCCTTTACAGGCTAGTTTTGTGACTGGCATTTTATTCTGGGTCCTGAACCGAGACTTAACAAGATTATCAGAGTTTTCCTGTACAATAAGCCACTTACTTTCTGATTATGTCGATCATTACACATCTGCTAATCTCAGTTTAAAAGTGCACCATGTGGTGAGTGACAAACTGATGTGGTAACATGAATACCCCATTCTTCACCTCACCAGTTAAAGGTTTCCATCTATGTGTCTACAATTAGAAAATACACAATTAAATACCACATTAGGTCATTTTGTAGTTTTAATAAAGTTTGCTATCTTGCTATGTTACAGTACAAGAATGATAACTAATGTCTGACAAGTGGATGAAATTGTAAATGAGTGAGTGTGCGTGAGACCAGGTTTGAGTTATGGCTCAACCGGCCTCTCGTAAATAAAAGTCATACACTTGCAACATTTAGGCTTCATATCACATTTTATCATAGCAAAAGTGATCTATAGCAATCTTTACAGCAATCTGTATGTGTCCCATATCTGTTTTTCAGAGGGAAACGCAGTAGTTGTTTTCAGTCTCACATGAGTTAGGGCTTTTGCTGCTGCAGAATGCCAGTGAGGCACGTTAAGTTTACTCTGGTCTCCAGGGACTAGAGTGGCTGCCCTGGGTCTTGGGGACCTTGACCACAAAAACCATTGGGTCCTTGGCCTTGTTGCTGAAGGTGCGGCGAATTATATCCACAGCACGCTGATGAGTCACCCCCTGCAGACTCTCCCCATCCACAGACAACAGCTCAAACCCAGCCTGTTTGGGAAAAGACAAGTGAAATAGTTTTAAGAAAAAAGAAAAGGATATATTTTGTAATTTAAATGTATGCATGCTCTCTCTGCCTTTGTAATAGACTGTGTTCTAGTGTTATATTATGGTCTTCATGAATCTGCTTTGTGTCTCTTAGTGATAAAATAATTGATGCCAGTGAGATTTGGGCTTCTCCCTTTACATGAATATATTCACACTGAAGGCTGTCACTACTGCACATATAAAGTTTACCCTTTAACACAAGGTCAGTGGAAAAAGAACATGGACTGAGACAATCACAGATGGACACAGAGCATTTGCTCAGCCATTTCCTGCAGGATGCAAGCAAAGAGTGGCAAAACTTTGGAGCCCCAAGGAGGGAACTTCCTCTGATGTCATCAGCATTAACTGAGGATGCACCTGTCAACTGTGCTTAACCTCGGTGACGGTTAGACACAAAGACACACAAGGCCAAATACTGTTGTTGCATCTACAACTATCAGACCTACTTTTATTTTTAATCCCTTTTTCATTCCAGACTTTTAAGTGAAAAAACATGCTTTGATCTCATTCTCTGCCAGCCTGTCTAAACTTAATAACCTCAAATGATATAACCAGTTACAATTGTGTTGCGCAGTTTTCTCCCGACAGATTCTTGGGAAAGGCAACACAATCTGATGTTGAGCTGATGTTGAACAGTAACTACACAGCTTTACGTGCGACCAGTACCAAAAGATTTAGATCCATTTAACCATCACGGAGATTAAGAAGTGCTTCTGCATTTGTGAAAAGTAATTCATCTGAATTAAACAGATCACATCCTAATCTCCCCATCCTCCTAAATGGCTGTAGGCCATGGCATTTGTTTCAACAGCTTGTCAGCAAACAAATGCAACGGGGAATTTTAGCTGAGAAGAGGATATATCCATTCCTGGCTGAATGGATATTCCACATAACTCATGTATATATAAATATACCATATATACGCAAACTCACCGTTAAACTCATTACTAAAGTTATTTGGTTACACTTCTTTTCATGGTCTACTACCATAATTTCTAAACACTGTATCACACTATATCTTTCAGATCTATAAGCTACAGTCTTTCCACCTTGATTTATTTCTTTCATGTATCACTTCCAGCACTGTTCCAGCACTCTCATTTCATTGACATGTACCAAAGGACCAAGAAGAACAAGCTGTCATTGTTTTCACTAAAAGACCTCATAGTTTTACTAAATAAGGTCTATTGAATGCCACTTAACAATACAATTCTGTCCAGGTTGCTCTCAATTCAAAGCTTTTGCAGAGAATTAGGAAAAGGAATGTTTGTATACATAACACACGGATACACAAAGATCATTCAGTGGTTATCGGGACAGTCTGAGACATGAGGTTCCCTCTTCAGAGTGGCGGAAGACAGCACTACACCATGGAGCTGATACGGATAAGCTGGTATGCCTAGTCGTGAAGTGTGAGATAACAGATGACGAGCTTGAGGGTGGAAGCATTCAACATCCTCTGTTTTTAGCCACCCTACTTGCATGACTAAAAGTGGAAGTGGCAAATAATCTCCTCAGGATTATTTGTGACCTCTGATTTACCATCTTTGCCTTTCCAGACACTCTTTATTTCAGCACCCTGCTGTGCTGAGACTGAAAATACAGTCTATGTTTGTGTACATGTGTACTGTTGCTCATGCACATTGAGGCTAAATGGGAATGCGGGCATATGTAGCATAAGAGGTCTTTGAATTAAAAGAGCTCAACAGATACTGGATCACTCTTGATGTTTCACACTCTAATCAGGCTTAAAGTTGAGTGTTAGTTGTCAGCTTGCTGTTGGGAAACATTCAAATTGACCCACAAACACACATGGTGCGATTAGTGACCTCGTATCACATGTTTTGATTCGAACACACGCATGCACTTGGCTCTTTAAACAGGAGCTTGTAGCTTGTTGCAAATGCATGGGATGAATGTGTTTAAAAGAACCTCATCAGATACTTTTAAGCAAATGTGCAGGCAATTTATCACCAATACATTAGCAGACCAGGACCCGTGTACCTCATTTATAATGGAGATGATGAGCTACCTGAGATGGCTCTCCACTCATATTCTCTCCTGTCCTAACTGCACACCTTCAGCTTCTTCAGGATTCCTTAGTCATGGCAAAAACGACTCATAGCCACGAGACTGACAGAATATACTTCAACCAGGATGGATGTCTGAGGTGTTTGTAAAATTCGTGAATTTATAGAAATGTTTTTTCCCCCTTTGAATTCAAGCCTTTGTCATTGAACTGAAACCCATTTGTGAAATATTGATGTTTTGGATGCTCACCTTCAGAGCCTCATTTGTAGATGCAGCGCCTCCAGGGAAGATTTTCTCAATCTTTATAACAGGCTGGACCTTTGACTCGATTCCTCCAGAGATACTGATGCCTGTAAAAGTAAAAGGAGAGGAGGATTGTTGATATTTACGGATATGGAAAAATTAATCAGTGGGCCTTTTAAGCACAAACACATGAAGAGCCTCAGGTTGTTCTTCAGAGAGCGAATAGACATTCTGTCCCAAGCTTTTAGTTTAGCAGTGGCACCATGACCTCTGCTGGTGACACCTCTGTACAAGTCAATCAGCTCTTCCTTTGTAACTTACAACCATGTCAAACTAGCACCAACGCTGTTGCCAAGAAACTTTAGAATTATGCTTCAAATGCAATTACTTCTATTTACCCAATGATTGCTTGGCCTTGGAAATGGTCAAAGTGGTGATTTCATACTCCTCAGGGGGTAGACTTCCTCTTCTTTTGAATCCATTTGGATTTTGAGGGTGTCCATTTACCTGCTGACCACTCCCTCTGCCCGTGGAGAGGCTCCTCTCTTGTTGGGGATCAAATACATCCGCTAGAGGGGTTCTCCCTCTCCGCTGTGAGGGGACCCGCACACTGACCTCGGTGTAGCCCTCCTGCCTGCTCTGTCTGCCCGTCGTGCTGTCAGGACTCTCCTCCCTCCTCGTCCTCCCGCGGCCATTTCTCACAGGGGACCTCCCTCGCTCGGGAGCGGCATCTCCGTGATCAGAAATTGACAGCGAGGAGTAGTCATTGTGCCTGGGTGCACCGTTGTCCTTTCTGTGTGGGGAATGACGTCGTTGATGTCCACGCTGAGTGCTGTACGGTGACTCTGTGAGAAGGAAGCTGTGTGACGGGGAAGGGCTGGGAGAGCGCGAACGTGCAGTCGAGGATGCGTAGCTGTCCACAGGTACATCCAGCAGAGGGGTAAAGGCATGGGTTGGATGCAGATGGCCTGAATGCTGGCTGGCCAAACGAAGTCTCTCAAACTCCTCAATCAACTGGCGGTCTTGCAATGTATCATGGACTGGCTGGAGGTGGAATCCACCCCTGTAGTCTGGACAAACACAATTAAAGTACATTAGAAATATTCCTTGTTCTCTAAATATACAGATCAGCAGTTTTGTGATGCATTTCTAAAATCTTATCACCTTCACTGACAGCTATTTAAGTAATACAGCACTTAATTATTTGCATCCAATGCTGTCTGTGTACATGAGTGACTGTGATACAACCCTTTTAATATGATACCAACCTAGAAGTTGCAAAATAATTATGCAATCATACATGTCAATCTTGTTGATATGACTAAATGTTATTTAAAATAATTTACTGACTTCAGATTTCAGTTCCTTTATCGATGGTGTTTTTATCTGTTGTCATTACCAATAAATCAACTCAAACTCTTAAAGTTTGGCTTAAAGATTTGGTCTTGATTAAAGTCTACATGCCTCATTGTACTTTTAAAATGTTGATGATACACTGTTGACTTGTTGAGAGTAAGATAGCTACAGTCAATCTAAATTAAATCAGTATTGATTGGGACTCTTGAATGAGGTAACTGCTTTAAGAATCTTTGTATCGTTCAAGTGTCAAATGTGCAAGCACAGCATGTCTTAGTCCTTTCTGTAGGCCACAGGATTGTAACAGAAGCCTGCGCCTCAGTGCAGGCACAGGAAACCGGAGACAGTGTAAGCATGCGGTGTGTGCGTGTATAGATATTGATGGGAGTTTAATTGGCCTTGTGAATTGCATGGCAATGACACGACGTGGTCTGTGTATGAGTAAAATTAGGCAGAAGCGAGGAAAGGTTTTTTCTTCCTTGTGTCTCTCATTCCAGTGGAATCACAAAAACAGCTGCTCAGACAAAAGAGGAGGCAAAGAGAAGTAAACAATGCGAAGAATAGACACAGTCTACATACCTGGGACTGGGGTGATGAGGTGACGTCGAGGAGTTCCACCGCGTGGTGAGCGCAGAGCAGGAGAACGCACTACAAAAAGATAGATCCTGATGATCATTCAAATTCCATTTCCAGACTTTTGCATTTTTTGCCCTTTCCTTGAAGTCATGTAAACAGATCACCGTGCATTTCTGATGAGCTGAATGGATAAAGAACAATCACAAACATGAATTTAAGTGCATTTTTCTGCTTACAAGAGCGACTCTTCAGGATATCGTAGGCTTCCAGTTCAAAAGGCATCACCATACTGTCGAATCGACCCAATTCAGTGGTGGGTATCAGCATTCTGCAGAACAGGTTAGAGTCAGTCAGCCTATATCTGCACAAAATGAATACCTATAAAACAAATCAAATGCTCTGTGTCACACCTTATTTCTCTGAGTAGCAACAGTTTCTCTGGCCTGTCCAAAATAGCAAGAAGGGGCCGGACTAAATCCTCAATCACAGTGTCAGACAAAAACTGCGGGAAAAAACATTAAGTAGTGAGCAAATAAGATGACAGGAAGAATTGCACGCAAGGCAGCTTAAGAGTCACTTTATGTGTTATGTGCTGTTCTGGGGCCTGTTTTAAAATCTCTTTCCTTGAGCTTGAGACTTTTAAGAGAATGTCTGTGTGATTGTATGCCAGAATACAGTGAATTTTGACAACATTTAACTTGTCCAATAGTAATACTGCATGCCACTGTTCAGTCTTTCAATCTTTCATGTTTAATTACTGATTAATGCCCAAGCCATATGCTGGTCTAAGTAGACTTGATATTTTATCTGGAGTGAAGTTATGCGCTGGTCAAGCAGCTGATACAATTTGGATGGCCCGAGAAAGACTAAAGGATTGGATTGTGGCTGATAGTTGATCCTAATCCTAAATGACGGGCCAAATCTGTGTTTTGTCACAGCTGCCACCGGACACATCTATCACTGTAGAGCTCTCCATGATTCAGGGAGCAGCACCGCACACTTGAGCCTGAGTGGTGCAGCTGATTTTAATTCATTGAGAAGCAGAGCACACAAAGGGGGTGTTACAGAGTAACTTCAGATTAACAACTCACCCTCCGACAGTGCCTCATTACAGCAGCCACCTCGTCTGAGTTGAGAAGTTTTTTTGCCATGTCCTCCACATGCTGCAGTGTCTCAGGTCGGGGCAGCGGGCTGCCAGCACGGGACTCCTTTGGAGAAGTGAAGAGCTGGAATGGTCGGCTTTGCTCCTTAGCTGGGAAAGATTTGCAGCAAAAATAAGACTCAAAGTTCTGTATATGTTATGTCATACCATACAGCTGAGGCTGCATAGGCTGGGTTTTAGGAGGCATTTAATTAACAGGACTCAAGACCATTTTCTTTTCAATCTAAGAGAGTAACAGGCTTCAAAGTAGCATAATGAAGTGGGTACCTTCTCTTCCATGAAGGAAAAATCCTGGAAAATGTATATTAAGATCTAAAATAACGGCACTGAGGGACAGAGAAATGAAAGCAGTGCAGCAGCCAAAGACCAAGCAGACCACCCACATACTAACTCAAACTACTTAACAAAGCAAAAGACTGCAAGCAAAGCTGGTCCGTCCAGTTTAAGCTCAGTCCATCCTGCCTACACACAGCCGTCACAACAAAGTACAGCAAGCTTCCTCACCTGACTGCAAAGAACACAAGGTCATCGGTAGCAAATGGTTCCCAAGAGCTTAAAGCTTATTTTACACACCAATGACTTTCCAAAAACAATTATTGAAATTTCAAATTAAACACAGGTCAAAGGGACACTTGTCTGAAAATAACATAGAAAGCCTCAGAGACTTATCAGGCCAGACTCCGGAGCTACTCTCCACCTATTATTCTTAAACAAATTACCAAACTAAATCAAGCTGTGGGCTTCAGTGTTTCAAAAATGTAATTAAAAAAATCAACAGTTAACCTGCACATGGGTTAAACTAAACCCTAACAAAATTCATAACAAAGGCTGGGAGAGTGAAGCAGCGATACACTATTTTAAAAATCCACAGATTGGGAGGAGCTACCACTGACCCCTGCTACACCGGGATAACTTCTGTGTAGCATTTGTGCTTTTTTAAGAGCTTAATAATTCCTGGAGTGGCATTTTAAATATGCTGAAATAAAAATGGTTTGAGCCAGGTGACATATCTGTGTTTTCCTGACCTTTGTCAGCTTGGTGAGCCGGTGACTTGGGGCGGCTCTTTTCTTTGCGGTCTTTCTTGAACAACAGGTTGACAAAGGTTTTGGAGCGTTGGAGGCTGGTGTCACCCTTTGGGCTCTTCTCCCTTTGTTGCCTTTTCTTCTTCTTTCTGTCTTCTGAACGTGTAAAAACAGACAAAATTCTTGCTCACCGGCTTATGCATGAACTCAATGCACCTTTATCAATCATTATGAAATAGAGCAAATTAGCTCCACTTGGGAGAGGGAGAGTGATAGTCATTAGATTAGATCATAGTTAGCTCTGGGTAACATGAAAACTGCTGACCTGTTGCAATACTACAGCATTCTGAATATTTCTAGGTGGTGTTGAAAACATAATTTATTGGCCTTTGTGCAGCTCCATGTTAAGATGTTGGCCAATAACACAGGGTGATGCACTCTGCCATGAGCACAAACTGTTCATTTCTCTTCCAGTCAGCCTCTCTGTTCAGTGCAGTAAATCTGCCACAGTGGAGAGTTACACACTTGTACAGATAAATTGCCGCTACACCAACCTGAATGCACCCTCATTTATACCAGGCACTACAGTAAAGTGCTGCTGCATACATTACAAATATCCAATCAGTCCTCAGCTTTGCTCCAACCTCCTGCTGGACTCTGAAAGTATGAGGGAGCTTGATAAATTAAAAAGGAAAGGCTAATAACTAAACTGCCCCAGCAATTCTTGGATTTATCGTTCTCCATATGCTTGTTATTTGTATTTTCTCTCTGAGATACAACAAGTCACTGTAGAGGGCAAAGATTAATTTTAGCCTGTGTCAGCTTTGTTACTCCCAACAAATTATGGTAGCAGTGTAGTGCTTGTGTTTTCATCCTAGAATCTAATATAGATTGATGTCCAGAAAGATCACTGGATTAAGAGTGCATCTCATTACTCAGCGAGGGCAGGGACTGACAGAAAAATCAACTCATTGCCAGATTATTACTGTACTATTAAATGAGAGTCTGGACAGAGTCATTCTGACCCTATATTCAAAGAGTAAATATATTAATAAAAACATGCTGAAATGCTTTCAGTGGACATCAGAGGGCAGTGATGATGGTAGACTGGCCAAAAGTGCTGAGGGCCCAGAATGAATAAGTTGGATTTTCATTCAAGTCGCTTTATACGTATCTTCTCCCACTCTCTGCTGCTCAGCTCTGCCTCCAAAGCTCCTCCTCCAGTTAGAGACTCTTCCTGGCTCTGAATTATTGTTTTCCACACAGAGAGGAACAACAACACATGCAATTTAGAGTCTTCGATTAACCTGACATGCGTGATTTGGGAGGAAACTGGCGTACGCGGGGAAAAAAGCAGCTTTAAAAAAAAAAAAAGAAATGTGATATTTCCCAAAACTTTCATCTTTTGGAAAACAAAATTGCCGCTGCAGATCTCACCTGACACAGTGATGTGGCTCTGGGAACGTCTGATTGGCTTTCGTGGTTTGCTGAGCGCCATCAGAGCCTCTGTCTTAGGTGAATGTTTCTGTACTTCCAGGTTCCCAGCGGACAGCGTCCTCACCTGTCCCTGTGCTCTCTCTCTGGCCTCTCCCATGCCCCTTGGCCCCTCTCCTTTCCCACGTATGACAGTGTCCCTCAGCACCACTGTTGCCCCCACGGTCCGACTGGTTTCTGTGGGAACCAGCCTTTCGGAGCGTGCCCCGTTTGGCAGCGGGTGGTCATGGTAGTGTGAAGGCGGGGGGTCAGTCTGCATGGCGGTGTCAGCAGTTCGCTCACTGCTGCTTGGACGTCGGGAGCGGTCCTCTGTGGAGATGGCAACGTCTACCATTTCGGTACCAAAGATAGGAGGAAAAAGAACCTGGGAGAGACCACTTAGGGAGCTGAGAGGTGTGCTGGAGGACAGTGAGGACACAGAAGAGTTGGAGTCTGAGCCGTGTGAGGATGGTGCGCGGTCGCCATTGGCTACTATGGAGAAAGAACCAGAATGATAAGAATCTGATTAGTGTGTGCTTCAGATATTGTGATAATGCAGCACCTTGAAATAAGACTGAAGATTGTCTTTAAAAACACACTGTTGTACACAAAAAGATTTATCCCTCATTTTTCTACTTTGTTTGTATCACGACCCTTCTGCCCTTATATCCTTGTAATCCTGTAAGCTTCTGAGAGGGAGATCATGAATCAGGAGTTCTTACATTACAGTTTTTCTTTTTTCCTAATGAAACTCTTGGAAAACTTTGTGTCTTGCCACGTAAAACCAGATGACTGAGCTGCAGGTACTATATTAAATGTATTCCTAACCCACTGTAGAGTACTCATATCGAATTGAAATAATGTAAGGCCTGTTCAGAAAGTGATTGAATGAGTTTTTTTTTTAACACAGCATATGATAATTAGAATTTTTAATGGCTTTCATACATTTGTCAAGCCAGCCATACTCTGCCACCATCTCTTTATACGCAGGGTATCTCCCGGCTTCCTGTAAAAAAAATATTTAAAAATCAATGTATATTCACCAAAAACACAAAACAGTCAGCATTATCTGGTTAGTAATCTAGATACCTATAAATAATTCTTTATGTTTTAGTCTTTGTTTTCTTATTTACAAAGTTTGAGTTTGTACTGCTGGGTAAGAGTGTGGAGATAACTAAAACATTAGTTCTGACCACAAAGAATTACTGTGAATAGAGTAAAACATTTTCCGACGCATTGTCTATACTCCCTGATTTAGATGATTCGATGATTCAGAGACATTTAAAGTAAACAGAGAACAGTCAACAGAGTGACCAGAAAACATTTGTCTCAAACCAATAGGAGTTTTTCTATCAGATGTATATTTAAATGTCGCAAAATCCTGCCGCTTTAACCTGATGACTGCATTGTGTCTATGTTGATATGAGTGTATTGTTCGTCACACCTTCTATGTTACAAAGGTTACATTCATTTCTTTGACTTGCAACATATAAGCACTATATATACCAGGGAGAGCTGCAGCTTTAATAAACATTGTATAAAGCAAGGAATGAGCTCTGTTCCATCAGGATTGTCTGACAACAGCCTTTCAAGTCTATTTCAAGGAATCATCTCAGCTTCAGGTCAAAGTGGAAACCATTGAGGTTTATCTCCTTATAAGCCTTAGTTGTCCAAGTGTGAGAGAGTTTAAATACATAAGGCCATTCTTTCCTCCACTCATATTGTCTTTGATTCATAAATGGGTCAAATACAGGAAAGGAGAAAGCTATAAAATAAGGCTTTCTGCTGATTATAACCTGATCCCATTCGGCCTTTGAATAATGAACGTTGGCCTGGCTGTTTTTCACACATGGAACCCGAGATCGTAAAATGAGCTAAGAGAGCACACATACGCATACTCACGCACACGGCATAACACATACATCCCCTCCATTTATACACACACATACACATGATTCTTCTGTCTAGAAATGACACAGAGTAAGTGGTGCAGCCTTACACAAAGCCGTGCGTTCAGTGACACACATATGGATTTCAAAGGCTGAAAGCCAGCTGTCCGCTCTGCTGTGCCAGCTCATTGTGAAGGCTGCTGTTATTTAACATGCTAACATGTATAACTGTGTCCCCACTCAAAGCAAAAATCAATTACTAAACCTGAGCAAATCGTCCACATGGCACAGTCATAGTTTGTTCAAGTAAAACAATGAGCTTATAGAATTTAATTCCCAACATGGCTGTAGAGCAAATTGTGGAGTCACGGGCATTTGATGCCTTATTGATGCAAACACTACAAAGCTGCTCATCTTTATTTTTGACACAAAAAAAGATAAATAGGATTTTCTCTCACCCTGATAGTCAGCATGATATGGGTGTGACTTCTCAGGACTTCCACTGCATTGCTGTGGGTGATATCCTCGAAGCTCACCCCATTGGCTGCAAGGATTTGGTCACCCATTTTGATGCCATGTTGTTCTGCAAGTCCACCTGGGTCCAACCTGAGGAGGTGCGTAAAAACATATTCACAGCTTTATTTGATATTTACATTCAGATATTAGTCAGGCTAAAAGCTAAATTCACAGGCATGTGCAGCAACTTAATTATGCGTAGCCTGGGGAATGGAAACCTATGGAGATATAACCAGATAGTATTGTGACTCTGGTTATCACCTCAGTGAACCAGACAGAAAGCGGATTACAAAAATTAAAATGAAAGAAAAACTTGTGAATAATCTGATCAATATCTCTGGTACAACATTACAAACACAAGGAGTAAGTGTAATAAAATTGAATTGTCAGTTGATAGGGGTAAAGAACTTTCAGTGTCTGACTTTTAGATGGAATGCTACATATTTCATAAAGGTCCAAAAGACCTGAGAAAAACTAAAGAAAATCCTAAAACACAAAGACATACAGCTCAATTTTCAGTTATCCAGGCTCTAAATATTTTAACAAAAGCAACTTTGGTTGTACAAGTGTGTGAGTTTTTGAAAAATGTACTAAGACAGTCGGGTATATGAATGTAAATATACACCGGCAGGTATGGCTTCGTGGATTTTAGAGAGTTTGATATGCTATAAATTCAACAAGGAAATATCTTACAGTTTTTTCAGAAGGGGTAATAATTATTGATGGGTCCAAATCCTTGAAAATCCAACAGGTACAGTTTTTTACCCTACTTATAACCTCTTCCTGAGTAACATTAGTTTTCAGCTGAAGTTACCATGGAGATACAAAATAATAAAAAGTAAACAAGCTTTATGTCACTGAAAACCCAGAGTTGAACCTCAGAGTTACTTCACTAATCCTGCCTCACAGTTAAAGCACCTGATCAAACAAAAAATCAAAAGACCAAAAGTTGATGTGAGGTTATGATGTGATATTTAACTAATGTTGCTTCTCTGCATCTTTCTCTAAGTCAAGGACAACTCAGTGGGATGGGCTGAAACTGCATGTACAAGCTGCACTAGCTGGCTTAATGGCTTCACATAAATCATATGATTTTGTTAATCCACTGTCGACTGTGCCTCGAGGGAAAAACAACTATTAGCAAGACATATTACAAATCTCCTTTTGTACTCATACTTAGAGACATAAATGCCCAAGCCGAACTCTTTGCCTCCTCTGATGTTAAAGCCCAGACAGTAATCATCTGACGTGGTGAAGAGATGCACGATCCTGCGGAGAGCGTTGTCTGAGCTGGCCTCTGATGGAGTGCGACCGCTCTCTTCTACAACCATCCGCCGGTGAATCAGATCCACCCTACAAACATTTAAAAAGAGAACGCACATGTGCGCATGAAGCATCCTTGGAGTGAACTTCTCCCGCTGTATCCACTGAACGCATTTCTGTTGATATCAGCTAATCAAACGTCTATAAAGGTCACAGCAGTAATCCATCCACTCCTGCCACATGAAACCCAGATACAGTATCTTGCAAAAGAGAGATAACCAGTGAGAGCTACAGTCTAGGAACCAGACTCAAAAGGAGAACTCTGTGTTGCACGTAACCAAGAAGTTGTCACTAAACTTCCATCAAAGCGTATTTAGTCATAATGTGGAGTCAGACCTTCGGAAGAAGTTAATTTGATAATCCGACATTTAACCGTGGGGTAAAGTTTGGCAACCATATCCATATTTGGCCCCTGGGTGCTGACTGTGCTCACCATGTGGTCTTCTCCTTGGAGTAGCGGATGCCAGGGATCTTGCCCACACGTCTGAGCACCATCCTGAGCCTGTTGTTGCCCGTCAGGACCTTCACAGCGCTGCTCATGGTGATGCTCTCCAGACTGACGCCATTCACTTCCACCAGCTTGTCGCCCACCGTCAGCCCGGCCTGCGCTGCAGACACACGCGGAACTCAGCAAAGATAGACCAGAGCAAATTTCACACACAAACACATAAGCGTATGCTTGGATGTAAACGCACTGAATCGGACACACCGACAGACCTGCGGGGCTGTCGTCCTCCACCTTGCTGACAAAGATGCCCAGCCCATGCTCAGAACCCCCACGGACACTGAATCCCAGCCGCCCATCTGGAGTCTTATCGATTGTCAATGTGTGAATGTCTTCACTGTCATCCCCTCCTGGAAGCACACACAGACATGTACCCACTGCAGATGGACACACTGACAGAAAAGTGCTCGCACTCACCATAGCAGTTCAAATGTAATTATGTGATTGCCACTACAGAAAAGGGTCGTAAGAACCTTTGCTTCACTGGAATTATTTTATCATCAAAACATGAAAGTATCTTGTTTTTCAACCTTAACATCTGGTTATCTACTGGTTAGACTGGTTATCTTCTGTTGAATTAGGTATTTTTTCAAGTAATTCATAAATTCATAATGTCACAAGTTTCCAAAGCAAATTAAGACAATCCCACATAGTTTTGTACGTTTGTAAGAAACAAATAAACTCTGGTATCTACTGTAAGGCTTACTCTGGAGTCACGTCAGACTGACCCACTGTTAAATGAGCTCCAGCTGCCAGTGGCACTGTTTTTGCCACCATAGTAACAAGGACCTTGGAGTGTGTTGAAACCTTACCATCAACAGGAGCGTTGATGAGAATGACCCTGCCCATGGGTGAGGAGGACCTGCGTCTGTGCCGCTGCTGTTTCTTCAGCATGTAGCGCGTGGTGCTGTGGGAACCCCCATTCTGGCCTACGTTGTGGAAATGGGGGTACCCTGCTCCATTTGTCATCTCCCTCCTGGCTGTGGGGTGAAGGGACTCAGCCATGGTATGTGTTTGAAAGGCCTTCCCTTAGTCATCCAGGCAGGAGGATATCCAGGACAGGCTGTCAGGGTGTAGTGCAGCCTGGGACTTGGGGGGGGGGGGGGGGGGGAGGTGGCGGGGGGGGGGGGTGGGGGGGGGGGGGGGGGGGGGGAGGAGGTGAGGGACAGTTGTGCTGGAAAAGTGAACTTTTTTGTATCTGGTTCAATCTAAATCACAGAAAACTGTAGTTGGCAATGACATGAAGCAGCTGTTAATGATTCCGATCCTCGCTGATTCCACTGACATACATACAAATAAAACTTCCGAACTGAGTTTAAACCAAAAAGATCCACATGCGACAAATGTTCCTCATGGCTGAACAGCAGACTTCAGGATGGGGACCAATTTTCTGATAAACAGAAGTTGATGCAGTCCACTAGCTTCCTCTGAAACCATCTCCTTGGAGCCCACTGGGCGGGTTTGACATCATCTGAGTGTGACAATGCAGGGTGATTCCTCGAGGTTCATGATTAATTAAATAGACCGACTGTGAGAAAAAAAACGTTGTAATGAGTAGGTGTGCTCAAATAATATAGATCATGACTTAGAAATACCCTACATGAAAAGAAAATAACTCAACATCTCGAAGACAAAAACAACAACAACAACAAAAAATACAATATTGTGGATAGTTTTGTCTCAGTCCCTCTCACAAGAGATTAATGGCTCTGAATTAATTCAGTACCATGGACAGAGACCGAGGGGTCATTATAGCCACTATTCATGTTGTCTTCATAAACATCTGGACATCATTATAAAGTAATAACGTTAAACAGCAAACAACGAGACAAATTGCAAACCTCCAACTCGGATCACCCCTGCCGCTGTGGATAAACAGTAACGCAACGACACTGTTCAGAATAAAGGAAAATAAAGGAGACAGCGTTACCTGCTGAGTCCGTGAAACGCTGCGGACACTCAGTGGTCCACCTGCTGACGCATTAACGGACACCTCCGGAGTATTAGTGCCACCTCATTTGTTCTCCAGGTGACCATTATTGTCTTAAGAGGTATTAGCCCCTATAAGCCCCTGCAGCTGAGCAATGATGATTAAGAAGCCTGCACTAATTGCACAAACATTAAAGTATCACTTACTCATGCCTGTTGCAGCTTGTCCTCAGGTAAACTCTGTCTGTCATCAGTGTGTTATTGGGGTTCAGGCTGTACACTTTTGGTGGGGCAACAAAAAAGAACAGCAGGAGCGTGGACAGTTTTCTTTTGCTTGCTTAACCAGGACAAGATGTATAACAACCCCACCATGTGGCCAGTCTTAACAACGTCTCTATGAATATTTCAGACATTAGATATATCAATTAAACTGAATTATATTGGTTTATTCAATTTATTATTTTGGATATGGTAAATTAACATATTCCAGGTAAACAAATAAAAAGATAAAGCATTGAAAAATAATCTGTTTTTGCAGGATAGTGTAGACACAAACTAAAAAACATTCATCTAAATATCTGCTAACATTTTTGGACCGGTTTACTGCTAGTTGAAAATCATGAGACTGCTTCCAGCCAGTTTGTTTTTAAACCAATCATGTACCAACTATCCCTCACGCCCTGCAACTCCCGTCTCTACGACACAGACCTCCCCCATAGACACACACACATGCCTCCCCCTAGGCGTGTCACTGCACGCTGACACATTCACTGACTGCCCCAGAGCTTCGGTTTTACGGGATGTCTTATGTTTTTGACTACCATGCTGTTTGACATCTTTGGTGACATCCCACCTGAAATTGATCGTGCGGCCAAATTGGAGCGCAAAGCTTGTTAAATCCACTTCCAAACAGTACTTTTCGCTCAATTTCAGAGAGTTTTCAGAAACAATTCGGCTTTAGCTGCTTTTTACATTTGAGATGGATGTTAATATATCTCTGTTTATGTTTTCAGAAACTCCACGAAGAAAAATATATACTGTATTGTTATATTGTACAAAAAATATAAAAAATAGCCGCCAACACTGGATCATCTTCAAATGTTTGTATGCAAGCTTTGTTAGATGACTTGATTGCAAAAAAGTGTCTAGCAAAACTTTTATTAGACTCATATATAGATATAGATTGTCAGCGTTTTTTTAACCAATTCCGTAATTGACTAATACCACTTGGGCAATCGTGACTTGAAGTGCTTTACGACATTTTTCATGTACTTGAAGGCATCATAGGTCCACCCGGTGGTACTGTGATATTGAGAGGTCATACAATTTTAAAAATCTGACATTTCAGAGCAGGTACGTTTTGGTGCTGAATATAAATGCTTCTTTAACCATTATAAATCACAACGTGACGAAGTTTACGTTTGCTCCCTCTCGATGTGTGTCGATATTCTGACTGTGTAAGCAACATTTGTGTAGCGTGTAGGCTAACCGGTTAGCCAACCGGACTGCTCGCAAAGGAATTTTGTTTTGATGACAGAAAAAAGCTCTCCACTACTCTTACCATTATAATGTTTACAGTCTTCTTAATTAAATTAACTTTTGATGTCCTGTTGTGAAATTTGTATAGTCAAGTATATAAGTTTTGGTGATACTATTGAGCCTCCGGCTAGCTTGTTTGCTACTTTGCTGCTGGTAGCCTGTCGTGACTCCTCCGAGCCCATCTGTCATTGTGGGTCTCCTCTTTTCAGTGTATTGCTTTGAAATAGCGTGTTTCATAGGCTGCTGGACCTTGAATCTAACAACCCAGTGTATATTTATTATTGTACATAATATAGGCGTTTTAAATTCATCCAGGAATGCTGCACACACAATGCTTCACACATTCTTGTAACGTTTCAGTTTCTCATGTTGACTGTTAGACATGGAGGCATGAAAGTAAATATTGACTAAAACGCAGACCTACATTTCGGTTTCTTTTTCAGTATGGTCTTTCTTTCTTTATCTTGGATTCCAAGCCACAACCGTCACAAGCTTAAACCTGGTTCCTTAATGTAACAAGGGAAGGACTGGTTACGTTTTACTGCATTAAAAAAATCGGATCACTCTGAAAGGTGGACCAAGTTATTATTCAGGTCAGATAGTGTGCTGGGCCTTATTTTTCTCAGAGAGAAATAACCATATGTTGTTGGACTGGGTGGTGTAAGCAGCATGTTGGGGGACTGGTTCACACCTCAGTGCATATTTGCTGTTGTCAGGCTGTTCATGTGCAGAAACATGGATTTAACTGTGCCACAAGCATTTAACATTAGTAAATTATGCCTGTACAGCTGGAAATCAGATGGCAATACTTCCAGTATTTCATGCACAGCTTTTTTTCTCTTGCTCTTTTCTCTGTTCCTTGTCAAACTCTGACTTTTAACACTCAACGTCTTGATTATAGTTACTTGTCAATGGGCAAAATTGAAAATGTTTTAAGGATGCAGGCTTTGATTGTTCAGTCAAGAACTGAAACTCAGCTCAAACCGCTCTGGAAATTCTTCTGACGTGCTTCTCTTGGGGGAGCACGTGGTTGTGGTCTATTTTATTTATTTTTTCTTCATCATGTGAGCACTAATCAGAAGTCCTGTCTCTGACTTAACAAGTGCTAGGATGTCTGGAGAGTTGTCCCTCAACATAAACATTAAGGAGCCCAGATGGGATCAGGGCACATTCATGGGGCGTGCCCAGCACTTCTTCATGGTCACAGACCCCCGGAACGTCCTGCTGTCCTCTGAGACTTTGGAGGAGGCCAAGGTCATTGTGGAGAACTACAGGTGAGGACAGGAAAGAGAGGATGGAGTCAAGGTGTCACTGTAATTGAGAGATGACTACATATAATTTCTGAACGTGAGTGGAAGTTAAATCTTTCCTATCATGGGCAACATCAATCCAGTGATGAATTTATCATACTTAGGAAAGTTAGATGAAACAACTTAAGTGTGAGTAGAACTTTAGTTTTTTATTTGTTTTAGTTGTCACTTAATTATTTATAAAATGCATTTTTCTTCCTCTATTTTGATTGTTTTTTGTGGTTGTTTTTTCCAGAGCTGGCATTGTAAAACCAGAGTTGACAGAGGACCAGCTCTGGAGAGCCAAGTATGTTTATGACTCTGCTTTCCACCCGGACACTGGAGAAAAGATGTTTGTGATTGGCCGGATGTCTGCTCAGGTGCCAATGAACATGTCCATCACAGGCTGCATGCTCACCTTCTACAGGTATCAGCGGCTCTACTCCCATCAATACTCTAAACCATACATCTCTGAACCATGTTCGAATTGCTACTGAAGAAACGCATAATGTGATAATTCAGCATGAATGTAAAGTCAAGGGTAATGCTCCATACAGCAGGGCATAAAAATAGAACGTTTAATCCCTGCACAGTGAAAATCCTCTTAAAGAATAAAAAAAAGTCACTCTGCTGAATGCTGATAAATCACTGAGCTGTGAACCTTTTGCTGATGTAACTGACTGATAGGCAAACGAGGTTCTATTTATGAACTAGATAAAAATCTAAGCAGTTCTCCACAAATGTTTTCCATTTATTGGTTGTTGTTTTTTTTAATGGTTTGAAACAAACTGCCACCATGTTGTTTCTGCTCTTTAACACTTGAGGGCGTCAAAGTTTAAGGTTGCGGACAGCCTGTCAATATCTGAACACAGACAAAATTGAGTTGTTTAAGCCATTAGTGAAATCATATTCTGAAATTATATTTTGGCTGCAGAGTGAAGAGAAGCTGGAATTCGATAAAGCAAATCTTTATTCGGTTTTTGGGGTAAAACTGAATAAACATATTTATTTGTTAGACTTATTCCGCCACTTTAATAGTATTATTTTGCAGAAACCGACATCGTGAGGTCATTCGTGCTCCTTCAGAATAGTCCTCAGCCTTTTTCATGTGCACTCGGATTTACTTTCAGATGTGGCTGTTTGTCTTTGGCTCCTTTAACTTAGTCTTGATTTAACTCTCGATTTGCAATAGCTCACATATTTCTTCATCTTTATCTCATACATGCTATCCTTAGTCTAAGCCGAGCTCCTCGGTTGGATGATCACGCAAATGATTGTTTGCTGTTATCGGCGTTCCAGTGAAAACATTGGGTGTCTCATTTCCTCTAACAGCTTCTTCTGTGTTGCAGGACCACCCCAGCAGTGGTGTTCTGGCAGTGGGTTAATCAGTCCTTCAACGCTGTCGTCAACTACACCAACCGCAGCGGAGACGCCCCTATGACTGTGAAGTAGGGAGGACTTCTCACTTCCTCTCAGCTCAAAATCTTTCCTGCCCTCCCTCCCATAAACTAGTGTTTTTAAGGAGGCTGTGGGAGCTGCTGCCCTCTCCCTCACAGCGGTATTTTGGTCCATTGTTAAGCATGCTCAGCCTCATGTCACCACGACCTCATGCTGAGATTGCCTGTTAACTCCCCTCTGCTGTTAGCTCGCCCTGCATTCTCATATCAGCCCTGTTATGCAGAAAAATGCAGACTGTGCTTGCATTTGCCTCAGAAATGTTCTTAATGGCTGCATTTCTGAGGAACAGGGGGTTTGCGTTTTCAACGAGTAAATGCATGCTGTTGAGTTCACTACGAAAAACGGGCGATTATGACATCGTCCTAGAATTTGGAAATGACTGTTTGGTATTTTCATACGCAAATGTGCACTTAATTTGGTAAATACTTTGAATGTCTGGCGATGCAGAAAAGGGAAGGTGGTGGTTAACATGTGACATCTTCTCGCAGCCAGCTGGGCGCAGCCTATGTCAGTGCCACCACTGGAGCCGTTGTCACGGCCCTGGGACTCAAGTCCCTTGCCACGGTATGACCTTTGGTTGATATATTTAAAGAGATGCAAAAACTGTGGGTTATGCGGTGCCAGATGTTTGAATGTGTCTGTGTTGTCCCATCGTTGCAGCGCCTCCCCCCAATCGTCAGCCGCTTCGTCCCTTTCGCTGCCGTTGCTGCTGCCAATTGTATCAACATTCCCTTCATGAGACAGAGGTGAGGTCACCAGATTGCTGACCAGTTGCAAGGGGTTGTTTCTCTTTACATTAACCTTTTTTTGTTTTGTTTTTCTGGTGCCAGGGAGTTAAAGTATGGCATCCCCGTGACAGATGAGAATGGAAACAGATTAGGAGAATCTCCAAATGCTGCCAAACAAGCCATCATGCAGGTGGTGGTGTCGAGGATTGGCATGGCAGTGCCTGCAATGGGTAATGACTGTTAACACGATGGATGTTCTTTTTCACAAACGGAGAGGGAGATAGCTCCCAGGATCTAATGGAGGATAGAACTGGTTCTGATCTATTTTGAACATGGGTTTTGCTCAAAAGTGGAGTTTTCTGTCTGAAAATCTTTTAATTTCTGTACAAATTCAGAGAATCTTCAAAGCCAGAAATAACACACACTTTTCTGTATGTTTTCACAGGATTCACCTTTTTTTTATCATTTCAAGTGACACTTGTCACTTTTATATTCATACTGCGTATTCATAGATTGGCTGGAAAGTCTTTATGGGCCGGAGAGATCCTGTCTAACGGAGTTACGACACAAATACTCAGACATGTTGGCTCACGTGTTTTTCCACAGTAAAACAACCAAGCACCTCTCTTTACACGCTGATCTGTAGCTTAGTCCGGTTACTTTCTGATAACTGAAGTTTCTGTTGAGTCAAAAATGTCTTACCCACAGCCGCGCTAATCGACCACTTCCTCCCAGCTAAACATCACCAGATAGGTGTTGTGATGGCATCTGAGATAAAGTGACCCATGTGTTACATTGGCTCTTCTGCTTGTGCGACAAACGTCCCTGACTTGTTCTTCCTTTTTCCTTCCAGCCATTCCCCCGGTGATCATGAATGCTTTGGAGAAAAGAGCTTTCATGAAGGTAAGCTCTCTGCATTCCTGAGTGCCACAGCGTTCTTTTTCTGGTCAGTGGACTTACTGGCTGTGCTGGGAGCTTTTACACTTACTGTAATGTTGATACGTCCTGTTGCCAAACACAACAACTTCCTGATCTCTCAGCCTGATTTCACTCCATTTATGCCTTCTTTTTTTTTCTGGTAGCGATTCCCGATTCTTAATGCTCCGGTCCAGGTTGGGCTCGTCGGCCTGTGGTAAGTGAAGTATTCCTGTAATTAGGTTAAACATCTGTGTTTAAGAGCTATGCCTAAAACATCTTTCTGTTTTCAGCCTCGTGTTTGCAACCCCTCTATGCTGTGCCCTCTTCCCCCAGAAAAGGTACCAGTAGACACTTGGAGCTCTCTTTCTCATTAAACAGGAAGTGTTATGTGACGCACGTCAGCATTTCAGTAATGTTCACGTCTCTTTCCAGCTCCATGAGTTTGAATGGGCTGGAAGCAGATCTGCAGGAGAGGATACGACAGCTGAGTCCTCACACTACAACAGTTTTCTTCAACAAGGGCCTGTAGGCACAGGCGGTCTCCATGAATATACACACAACAAGCACTCACATGCATAGACACACGTCTGTTATCATGGGCACAAGTGGAGGAGCAAAAGTAAATATATTTATGCTATTTTTTTCTTTGAAATGTGTACGTTTTGGGTTTTCTGAACATTTAGAGCTGCTCCTAATCTAAAGTGGAAGGTTGAAATTATTTAAAAAAGAAAAAAATCCCTGATAGAAAAAATAAAGGTAATTTTGAAGGAGAGTGCTCCCCCCGGGAAGATATATTTTTGTTTCCATGGGGTTTCTTTTTTTGTGGGGTGCTGTTTTTTTTGTCTTCCACTGGTTTTAAAACCATGTTACTGGCAGTTTATGGCTGCTGAATTCTGTTGGACCCGCTGATATTTTATGTTACATCCAGCTCCTGTTGCATCATACCAGCTTAAGTCGAGGCCTGTGTTTGTAAGTCGCGTATGCCATTGCTTCTATTTGTTTTTCTTTCTGCCTTGTGTTGTTGCTCTTTAAACTTAGGTGCAGTTATCTTCTGATGTATATTTTTTGGGGGGGATTGTCACTTAATACCGAATATATACCTTCATTGTTTTTAAACTATCATTTAGTAAAACACACAACAAAATATGAACTAGTTTTATGTGGTCCAGGCACTGGTTTAAAAAAAAAAAGAAAAAAGGCCTGTTTTGTTTGTTGTACTTTGCTTCCTATCGACCAGTGCAGCTTCTCTTTAACTTCAACTCTCCTTTAAGTGTACTTATGTCCATTCATATTCGTGGATCAGGTAATGAGGTGCTAAGCACATGTGGCAAAAGAATATTTAAATTATACTGCAAAGTGTTTGCATAGCACAACCATATAAATGCATAAGTAAACACAAATGAGTGTTGTTTTATCAACTTGAATATGTGGTGCATCAGCTTGATATTAAAGAATGTCTCCATTGTTTTAGGTGCTTGTTTAGTCGAGGTGTCTGTTGGAGAGGAGTATCATTTTGTCTGTGTATTTGGATTCAGATAAATGACGGTGATAAAGAGCTGCCGTTATCTGATCTGAAATTTCCCCCGTCGACTTTATTCACTTCCACATTTAAATGCAGCAGAGAAGGCTTGCTATGATGTGTTACTGTTACTATGTGTAGAGGCTTTTTTTCTGTCTGCTTCTCAGAGGAAAACTGCTTGAGCTGCTGATATTATTTTATACCAAATGTGGTGTGACAGGGTCAGACACCTCGCATCTGTTTGGAAGATGAGGGAAGCGGGCTGTGTGCACAGTGCTCGTCGTTGCTTCGTTTAAGTGGACAGTTCGGCGAGTTAGAGCGCGTCTGAATGTAACATCCCTCACGCCGTTGAGCAAACTCGCCTAACTTTGGACTGTCGGTGGTATTCGTTGATGCTGTTGTAGGAAGTAGCTCCGTGTATTCCAACACTATGTGGAAAATTGATATATTTTTCTTGGATATATTTATATATGCAGTATATATTATGTATTTAGCACATATGCATGAGGGATTTAGTAGATCCAGCAGGTGGCCACATGTATGCACTGGAAAATGTCAGCCCTATTTGACATAAGAGCTGATTTGCTGCAAATATGTAAGAACTCCTCATGCGTTAGGTTTACTCAGCCCTCAGATTTGACGTGTTCAGTCTGAACTCGTATGCATACAAAAAGACACGAAGGAATGATTTGATGTTGGTTTAGTGCAATCTTGTGTGTAGTCAGCTTCAAATGAAATATATGTCCACCCCACTGAAAGATTTTTAAGGCCATGCTCTTTGTGAAAGTCAATAAAGGTTTATTTGGAACAGGGGCTCCAGCAGAATCTGTGCAGACAGGAATAATCAAAGATTATGCAAAGGTTTGATCCAAAAAATGAGTGGTTCCACCCGCGATTTACTTGAATGTTGCCAGCCAAAAATGAAGAGTGCTGGTGTCTGTTACTCAATCAAACAATACATGTATGATCATGTGCACTGCTGGACGGTGGTTCACAGTGGGCATGAGTGCTCCTATCCAGTGTTTGACAGGCTGGCCGTGCTGGTGCTTGTGAGCGTTGCGTTAAAGAAATGTTCCTGCCTTTGCTCTGCTGCTGTAGGAGCTTATCTGTGTTGCAATATAAACATAAACGTGTGCATGAGTAAGGCTTTTTTTGGGGGGGAAATGTCAGTGACTCCTAACAAATGAGCTTACTCTGTGCTTTTTGTTTTCCGCCCTCTGAGCTCCTGTTCGTGCAGTTTTGCCGTAGAAATGTTAAGAACAAACTGCTGGCTTTGAATCGGCATGCCAACGTACACATACACTTAATCTAAGTCAGTGCCCCCATCACATCGTAGTACAGATCGAGCCAAAGATGAGACGGGCGTGAACTGTGCCGCAGTGAGAAGAGGAAGTTTGTAGCTTTTAATATCTTTTGTTGAAGCTTTAGCAATATATGGACCTTTTGCCTGAATGTTCTTGTGTAGAAACGTATATCTATGCAGCACTCGACACACCAAAAGTTTCAGGAACATAATAAAGCAGTCATTTAAAAAATAATAATAATACTTTTTCAATCAAACAGAAAACCCACACACCTTCAGACACGTTTGTGTGAGATAGATTTCCACCTAACAATGAAATCACTAAGAAACCCTTGCACACTTAACCCTGATGTACTCTTCAATCCTGCTTACTTTGAGTACTGAAGTCACTATCTTTGTTGTCGTTACACTCCATGAATGTTCAGTGGACATGCAACTTCTGTACATGTAGACCTGTCAGTATTGGTGTAGTGCTCTCTCCCTCTGTTTTGTATGGATTTGAGACATGTTTTCTTGATGTGAAATGTATTTTACTCAGAGCAATAGAATAAAATTTGTCCAAATGTTCAAACCTGCCTGCTTAATTCAGTCCTGTCAATCTCTGTAGATGATCAATGATTAAAATATACAAATGAAGTTCAATGAGTCCAAGTGGAAATGTCCAGGTGGAGCTGTTCGCCATCAGTCACAGGATTGGTGATTTGAAACCGAAAAGAGCAGAGCTTTGAATAGAAATTTGGAGAAACGTGTTGGCTTAATAGTTGTATGCTCTTTTTTTTGTTATAGCTTATTGCAAAAGGAAAGCTGACAAAATACACTGGATTGTTAACTTACTTTAAAGAGAGTGGCTACATTTTTGCACCTTGAAAGAAATCCAGATCACTCTTTTGACATTTTATTTAGGCCGGCCTCAGATGTGGTAGTCAATCTGAACATTTTGGATGGACTATGCATTTAATCAAAATGTCAATACCCACAGTTGCTGAAAATCAAATTTAAGAATGGGATGAAGAAGCAAACCGCATTTTGCACATTTCTCTCTGCGTCAGCAAAATGGTGGATTTACAAACCCTTTTATTAAATAAAAACAACGGCCGTAACTGTGTTGAACTCATTTTATTTTTTCATCTGCCGTTAGTTTGTACATGTGCAGGAACATACAATCACGTACCAGCAAAAACCTGCACCGAGAACAGCCCCCAGCGCGAGGACGGTGGCCGAGCCTTTGTGTGAGTTTGGGCATCAAACCTGCTCCTCTCGTTAGTGAGTTTAGAGTCAGGTTTTCATTATCACACACTCAGGCTTGCACACCGTTTCTCATGATAGAAGACGTTCAGGTGCCTGAACCAGGCAGAAATAAAAGAAGCTTTCACACAGGGATGGCATTAAATACGTACCTCTTAATAACTGATCAACAGAATTAGTACCAAATATGAGAGGGGTTCTCTAGAGGATGGATTACTGTAATGCCCTTGTGGGTGGTGGCTGGAATAAAGAGCAGTCTGTGTAAAATGCTGGAATAACACTAGCTCTGTCCTGCATTTCTCAGCTCCGTTTTCAGAGACATCTTCACAGTAGACGTCGCACACAACACACAGCGCTACGTGTCTGGTGAAAAATGTCCATGTCTTGTTCGTTTTAGCATCGATCTAACGCGGTGGGCATGCTCTGTGGCTAACGCAAGTTACTTCACCCGCTGGATTTTCTTCACAGCCTCTAAAACATCTGCGATGGCCACCTTATCGCCAAACTCCTTCTCTTGGTGCTCCAGGAGGATTCCCTGCAAGCAGAAGCAGAGGTATCAAATGCAGGCTGGTTTAAGCACCACGGAAACAAATGAGTGCAGTGCAGAGGTTTGGTGGGAGACCTGCTCTCCTGCTCCGATGACAAACACTCCCCCCAGGATGAAGCCCTCTCCGTTCATGTTGCCCTGGTAACCAGATCTCCAAGCCCGCATGAAGTTCTGCCAAACTCCGAGACGAATGAAGCCCAACCCCCCCATCTTCCTCTGAAGCGGGCCGTAGAAATGTTTCTAGAAAGGCACAATTAAGTTCTGGTCACCTCGATGAGGTCATTTTATCCCAACGGATGCTTAAAACTGCTTCAGGTGTTTGTCCGTCTCACATCTCTTATCAGAACCTGGACTAAAAGTTACTCAAAAGTATTTTAGTTTTAGGGTTAAGTAGATGTGGTTTTAGCGTCTAAAAAATTAGCAATTGACACTTTTGTACTATAAAAAACTATATTTTTGTACAGCTGAATTTTTGCTCAGAGTTAACGTCAACTTGACTAAAAAACAAGTCCAAATATGCTAATTAGACTGCAAGTACAAAAAAATGGGTAAATTGTAAAAGACAGATATAAATCAAAAGAAAAAGATGAAAACTTAAGAAAAGCACCACAAAAGAAATTGGATAGAAACAGGCCTCAGTGTTCTACTAGTGATCCAACTAGAAAAATTGTTATTTAAATAATTTCTGTTACATCTAATTGGATTATTGTTTATTCATAAAATGAAAAGGCTGTGAGAGTGATGTGTCGCTGTGGCAGCTCTTCAGCCGCTGACCTGTTCATCGATATAGATGTCCCCGGCGAAGTGCGGCCTGAAGTCCTGGATCTCTGTCCCGACGTTCTCCTTCACCACGGCCACCAGTGGGATCCCGAGCTCGTCCAGCTGGGGCTTCAGAGAGGACAGCTCAGCGGCCTCCTGCGGTCAGACGGAGGGGCACCGTTAATGGCTACCAAAACAAAAACAACAGACTTAAAAAATACTTTCTATCCGATAGTCGCGGGTTCACCTCTCTGCACAAAAATCATCCGGGTCGCCGGACGGCCATGACCACGGCCCCGTCCCTCTCCCACAGGCGCTTCGCTTTGATGACCCTGTCGTCTGCAGACAAAACACCAACTTTATACGACTGAGCTGCGACTTGACATGTCAGGGGAACATTTACCGACTCATATAAAAGTGATAGATGATAGAAGTAACTGGACGAAAATAAAAACCTGGGATATGATTATGGAAAACAGGCACAAAAGTCAATCTGAGGCATTTAAGAGGGACGTGATCCGTAATGCCGACAGATTGTTTAAAGGAGCTTTTCCCCCAGTGCAACACAGGACCTCATTCACTTCATGTACAAAGCATGCAAACATGTAAACCTATGTAAGAGCTACACATGACGGATTCCACGGCTCCTGTAACCTGGGTTTTCCTCTCGAGAGGCTTTAGGAGGCTTACTGCTGGATTACGCCGTTAAACTGCACCTGAGGGCCGCCTACCTTCAACGGTGGAGCGCAGGTCCGCGTCTCCCAGGTACTCCAGAGACGCGCTGGCGCCTTTGGGGAGACACAGATCAGTGTTGGCCAGGAGGATTCCGGCCACGGCCGCTCCCACGGCCCCCAGACCCAGAGACCACATCCCCATCTGGATCAGTTCCCCTTCCAGTCCGGACCCGGACGACACTGCGGCACACATGACTCACGTTACAAATACATACACAGATCTCCCTCTTCCAGCCAGTTCCTACTGTGTTGCAACATTTGCAAATGTGTTAAACGTCTCACATAGTTGAACAAACATGAGCTATTTTTAGTTTTTTTTTTAAAAGGAGAACTCAGATCTTCTTTGGGGCAAAACAACAACAAGACCAAGCGAGCCCCCTCTGAACATGAGGGTTTGTGCAGCAGACTCTAATCCACACGTTGCTCAGATTAAATACCTCAAACACACAAAAAAGGCTGGCTGTGGGTGGTGTGTTATCTTGATGGCTGACTTGGAAACCAACAAGTGTTTGTGTTGTCTTTCACGCTACGTTCCAGAAAATCTTTGTCGTATTGAGCCAATTTCATTACATTTATGCAGAATTAGAAACCAATAGTGTCAGTTTTAGGAATAGATGTTCAAGTTAAATTAAACTTTGGCTTTGGTTTATTTGGATTCGGTTTATATATAAACGCCTATCAAAACCTGTTTGGATTCCTGATAGATTAAATCAGCCTCAAATTAGGTGACTTGTAAATTCTGGCTTTCATAACACCCTAAAAATGTGTTGGAGAACAAATCCATGCAGGCCCAAAAGGATTCCACATCAAAGGTCTTGCGAGAGAAGACAGCTGCCGATGCGGGAAGTCAGATATGTCCTTGCCTGAAGCGATCTTGTTTGGATCAGGACTTGCTCTGGCTTTGCTTTGGTGAAAAAGAGCGCTCTGGGCTGCTAGAAACTGGGGTTTGGAGGAGGTGGAGGGCCTCCACCTCGGGGCAGGGCTCCCCAGGGGGACTGCTGAGCAGCGCGGGGGAAGCCTCCACCTCGCGGCCGCGGAACATCTGGACAGAGCCAGCATCACGGACCGCGGTAAAAGTCTCAGTCCCTCAACACACACACTCTCAAGATTTCACTGGAAGACAAAAGCATACAAAAAGCTACTCTGAGCGGTTTGAACCCTCCCACGGTGCCACACTGCAGACAATACGGCCCAGCCTTCAGGGACCGTTTCATTTGACAGCTTTAATAGACATTTTCACTTTCACGGTTCAGCTTTTAACATGTTACACCTACTACTGTTAAACCAGTCAGCCAAGTTTTATCAATCAATTGTCCCTGAAAGCACAAGCCCTGAGCGTAACGCTCTCGAGGTGCGAATGCTCTCCACCTAAAAATAAACCCTCTGCTCTCGCACTCTAAGCTGTCATGCGTGTTGTATAGAACAACACGTAAATTGGACGAATAACAAATAAATCTGTTTACAATATCCCGCACGGTGAGGGGAAAGGTAAAAGAATGTCCCATACTGACTTGTCTGTGCTGAGCTTCTCTCTCCGGTGCTTTAGGTCATCTGATGTCAGACAGTAAAACACTCAGATGAGTCATTGCACTTCATATCTCAAAGGAATGAGAAAAAAAAGAAGCATCAGCCAATGGTGGCACTCGCAGTGTCCATAGCCAATAGCCTCTAGAAAGGAAGACTGAAGTCCTCTGCCAGCAGGAAATCTAATCGTTTATCAACACCTAGTTGTTCAGACTTTGTTCACTTAATGAAATCCCCCAGTGCCTTTTTCTAATTTCTCCTTTTATCTGCTTTGAGAACATCTTTGACATCTGATGACATCTTAGAGAAAAACACTAAAAACTTAGCCTGTAGATCACGCAGCGAGTTGAATTGACAAAACTATAAAAGCTTAATAAGGCATTTTATCTCTGCAATGAAAATGATGTCAGACTTTTCAAAATTGGAACAGTAAGTTTTGTTGAGTCTTTTGTTTTTTATAACTATATAATAACCGAGGAGTATTGAAATCGCACCTTCTACATATTGTGAACTGTCAAATATATATTTTAAATGTCTTTAAGTTTTGACTGATTAGAATTCAACATCGTTTTTTCAAAGCCTGGTCATTCTTATTTTTATTCTAGTGCCTGAAGTAGCATTATAGTTTCCAATGTGAGATATTAATCCCCAAAGACATCAGAACACCAAACACGCAATGACCTTGATATCTATATTGTGTAACTAACCTAGTCGCAATAACTAAGAACTATTATGAAATTGTGTGTGACATGAAGTGTTTTTCAGTTTTTGGGAAATGACAGCGATCCCCTGGTGTAAACGACAAACATGACGATAAGGATGGCATGCTGCCTAAAGCTGCACGAATTAGCATAGCACTAAGATTACCCTTTTATCTATGGTGTCCCGGCAATATCTAATAAATCCAGAAGGTGTTATTCACTCCTGCTTGTAGAGTTTGTGCTCGTGACATAAACTTCCCTTGCTGATTTCGCCATTAAATAACACTTACCGAATTAAATGAACAGACAAGAAGCGCCTCTCCAATCGGATGTTCAGTCAACAGCTTTCTGCGCATGCGTACTAGAGGATCCGGAGCGCAGGGAAAACTAGTCAAACGAGATGGAGTGAAACCAGCTCAGAGACCAAAACGGCCCAGCGACAGGTTCATTCTTAGGCTGGTAATTACCACCCTCAGTGTTTAGAGCTCCTACCTCACCAAAAGAAGGGAAAAAGCTAAATAGATGAACGGTTTTTAACCAACAGTTTGACCTTCTCGTGGTAGTTGTTCTTTTTCTTTAAACCATTTACATTCTCTATTTATTACTATGTGGATGTGATATGTGCTTTGTAGTCTTTTATTGGGCTTTTGTGATTATTTAAAGCCTTAATTTCTTTTCTCAGAGTTGCCTTTTGGGTTCTTTTGTGTTGCCTTTATGACTTTCTGCACTCAAAATACCTTTTCCTTTTTAATTATTCATGTTTTTAGATGTACCATTAGCTTCTGTAAAGGCTATTTCCCCTTTTTGCAGCTTTATGACCTAAAGACTTTGTTTTTACAAGTCATATACTCTGAGATCTGTGAGTTCAAGTGCGAACTTTCCTCCGTTTCAGAGAATCTGTGACTTTTTTGGGACTATAGATACCTGAACCCAGAATGCTCAGTGATCCATGGGTAGATAGATATGACAACAAACTCTGTGTTAACATGACTCCATGCATCCATTTATTGGTAGCATACATACATTGGATTAACAGCTGAGTGCCTAAACAGTTTATTTTCCATCTTGTCAGGTCCAAACTATCTTTTTTTATGTGTCAGATTTGTGTGCCATAGCATCAGAGCTGTTCTCTCGGCAGAGTTTCGAAACAGTTCATCATTGAGACACACAAAGATCGTCACACAATCAAGATGAGATGTGCAGACAGTGGATAAACATGCAGTTAGACTCAGAGGTAACCCATAATATGACAACTACTTGCGAATGGAGCAAAATCTGTATTCATTAATTCTACATGCAGTTTGAATGTAAGTACAAATTTCTTTAAGCGTGCAGAAAAACCAAAGACATGCATAAATAAGAATGCAAACCAAAGATTCATAGTGCCATGCAAGGAAGTCCATTCATTTGTAGTACAGATCTATCTTGCCTTGTCTTCTTGCATTTTGCGGACCGCTTTAATTACTGCCAGCATATTCACCTTGTCACCAAATTCTTTCTCACGGTGCTCCAGTAGAATACCCTGAGGAAATAGCACGCAATCAACAAAACAGCTTGAAACACAGGCCCTGCATTAAGTTTTTATTCTGTCATTTACTTCGTACCTGATTTCCTGGCCCAATGACAAAGACTCCTCCCAGGACAAATCCTTCACCTTTTAGGTTTCCCCTGACACCCCTCCGGTATGCCCTCCAGATATTCTTCCACACACCAATCCGCAGAAACATGGAGAGAAACATCCACCTCTCTTGAGGGCCATAGAATTTTCTCTAAGAGTGAAGCAAAACAGTTGGATGACTTAAGTTATGACTTAGCAACTTAAAGTCTTGAGATAAGGAGGATTTTGAAAAAACAGACCTGCTGATCTACATAGACTTTCCCAGAGAAGTACTTCTTGAAGCAGTCCAGTTCCTTGCCACGGTTTTCCTTCACCACGGCAAACAGAGGGACGTCAAGGTCCTCCAGCTGGGACTTCAGAGAGGACAGCTCAGCGGCCTCCTGCACATTCAAGCAAAGAGAGATAACACCGTGCATGAAGTTCAGTTATTTTGATTCAACTGAAAGCCATGTCACAACATACCTCTCTGCATAGTAATCATCCGGGTCGCCGTACGACCATAATCACAGCTCCGCTCTTATCCCACAGAGTTTTGGCCTCGTGCTTTTCATGCACTAAAAGAAACCAAAGAGCATTATTTACAAAATGGCGCCAGCTCCTCTTCACATGGGATAGCTCATCGCAAGATGACAAGACTCCCAAAATATCTATATTATGAAGTTGTGTACTCTCATTTCGAAAAGCTAGTCATTACCAAACCAAGCAGTCTCTTCTCTCAGTCAAAACCCATTATAAGTTGTATCATTTACGCAGAAGTAAAGTTTTGACAGGTTTATAAGATAAACCTGCCAGTAGCACAAAGTAGCCCCCGGCATGAAAAAGTGTGAAAAGTTAATGTGATCTGCGTGTCTCCTGTACTCACCTCCTCCGCTTGTCTTCAGCACTGTTTTCTCCAGCACTTCTAAGTTGGCCCATTCTGGTTTGGTCTGGAACCAGTCTGTGATGGAGCTGATGAGCTCTGCAACAAACAGGCCCACCACCTTCAGGACTGTGGTCACAGTCACCATCCTCCCACACCAGCTGAAAGGAGAGGAATCAGGAGAGGAATCAGCTTCAGGTGCTGGCCTTCCCTGCTTTACAACTTTTATCCAGATTAAAAAATTTTTCATCACCATATCTATCTCCATCCACGTTCTTTTTTCTTTTTAATTCTAAACATAAATGCTCCCTCCTTACTCACAATTTTATGGGGTTAATGACAAATCTGAAAATACTTATTAACAAGAGGAAAATAGAAATAAAACAGGAAGGTTTAGTTTTTTAACTCAGCAAAAACAGGGGAAAAGGTGATACTCACCAGGCTGTGACTCTCAGCTAATGTGGTGGAATCGCATGTGTCCAAGCACCCCTTTAAATCCTTTAAACTCAGATCAGGCCAATCATAGTGAAAGCCTTGCTTATGCGAATGAAACATGATAGGAATTTCTCAAAGACCCTTGGGAAAGAGGGCTCATGTTGAGCTGGTACCAGGTTCTGCTGGGTGCAAAGAGGATCCCTCATCAAACAGCACAGCCTCAAGTTCCAGGTGTACGTTTGGGTAATGTTTCCAGATATGTGTTGATGCTGATAAGAAATAAACCCAAAGACTAGCTGCAGACCAGCTGAATGGTTTATTCTACATTGATTTTGAAGGCCATGATAAACATAACAAGATTATCTATGGTTGACAGCAGAGGAACTTTGAAGTTGGATGCGAGTCCCTGGAATCAGACAAGGACCAACACTGCCCCCTGCAGGTTATTGGTGTAAATAAGCAAGCAGATCTCAGTCAGGTCAACAAAGAAATATTTGAATCATTCTCACTGTTACATTTTTCCATTAGATGCCCCCCCTCCCCCCTTTTCTTTTTTAACAACATGTTCATTTATTTGAATAATCTGACCAAAGCCCATTATAATCAGCATCAGCAGGCAGGGGCTGCTGCTGTTTAAACATTTTTGTTGCCAATTTTTTATTCTACTGATTATCACAACCATAAATCTTTTTTTGTTATTTTTGCACATTTCATGAAAGATACCCACCTTCACCAGGGTCCAGGGGAGCTGGAACCTATCCCAGCTACCATCGGGGGTGGCCAGAGCCAGAGTACACCCGGGATAGGTCAGCAGTTCGTCACAGGCCAGGTCAGTTTTGTGTGTTCTTGCTGTCAAAAAGACAAACAAGCCAGCCCACAGCAATAAGAATTTTTCATATGCTCAGCCAAGTCATGAATATCTGTCATTTCACTCTGAACGTCTTGTTCAGACTGTCTTGTCAGTATGCTACTTCAAAGCTTTTCTTTTAAAGTCTTAATGATTTAGCTCAATGCAACAAAACAAAAATTAAAGAATTATCAGTTGTTTTTTCAACCAATCCTGTGATCTTTGGATCTTCATATTCATATTGAGAGACATTTACACAGCTGGCTTTCCAAACCTATTCTTACACCTAAGAAGAAAATAACTCTGTGCAAATACAGTTTCTCCATGAAAGGGAGATTGTTTGGTTTGTGGTTTGTTTTTATGGTCATAATGTTTTAAAAACAACTGTCTCTGATTTATTATCATTTTTATTACCAGTTGTAATAAAAAGATAGTAACTTAATAACAGGAACCATTGATCAAAACAAGTCAATAATGTTTGTGAAAGGGGAAAAGTACACTACATATCTGACCCAATTTTGGAAATTAAACAGTTTTTTTTAACAGTGTCTCTAACATTGAAGTCAAAGAAGACATTGTGTTTTTCCTGCTCAAAGTGTATTATTACAAAGCACTGCCCGACTGACAGTGTGGTTATATTTCCCCCACTGGTGGCAGCCTCACACAGGAATGCGCTGAAGGTCCAAAATGGGCTGAAATAGGTGGGATAGAATGACACTCCTCGAGCCCAGCTGCTGCACTCCCTCTGCTTGTTCTGCACAGCAAACTACTGAGGTGCTTCTTTGCACAGATGCCTGCTGTTCTTCTGGCAAAGCATTTTAGCGCATTTGCTTTCAATGAAAATTAATAACAACTTGATTGATCAAAAGTGTCACCTATTATTGTGAATCTTCAGTTTAGGCAATTGACACATTGCAGAACCAAAACCTTTTCAACGTCAAGTTCAAATGAACTCTTGGCATTTATTTGAATCAAACTTAGACACAAACATGCACACAAACGCATAACAGCCTCCCCTCGCTCCGTGGCTGCATTAGCAGGGAGTGTGTGCGCCCAACAGCCAATCACAATCGAGCATTTGCACCCCACCTCCTGTGGAGTACTCATTGGTTGACATGTCAAAGTCTTATTGTGCAAGTGAGGCCAATCCGAGAGCAAAGTGAGTCGTTATGAAACGGGGGCAGAGAGTAGGACACTAATTGGCGTGTCCGTGTATTTGAGATGAGTGGTCAACTTTTGGTTCTCCTTAAAGCTATATATGTAAACTTTCAGTAAACTTTAAAAACCAAGAAGCCGAAACATAAGCAGAAAGAATAAAATACCTTCAACTTAGAAATTCAGCAAAGGTTCTGAGGGTCTGTAAAAACACACAGCGTCACTGATAAGACGAAATTTCGATAAATCTGTGGTATGCTATTTCAGCTGGTGTTTATCTCTTGTTTATTGACAGGTAACGTCTTATATAACAAGCTGTACACGTGAATTACCCCGCAGTCTTTGAAGCACAAAGTAAAAGGTCATGCCTGAAATGATCCAACTCATTCTGCTTGTTCTTGATTAAACTGGTCAGAGGCAAGTCAAACTCAAAGTGAGGCAGGCAAACTTTAGGGGAAAACTCTGTGTCCTTGAACCTGAAAAAAGGCAAACAGGTGTTAGCTGTGACTGAGTCTGAGAGGGTAACTTTATCTTATCCTGTTCTGACAAGTTTGAGTCTGACCAACACACATAAGGCCCCTGACCCGGCTTTTAAATGGAAACACGGTTATTCAGTGTGACACACTCTTTTCGGCCAGCTTGAAGGTACACTTTTAAGGGGCTAGATCTGGGTTTGGTCATTGTCCAGCCATGTAAAGGGCAGGGGTGGGGGTTGATGGATAATGTGTTGAAGGCAAGATAAAGAATAATTTCCTAGATGGTCCATTCAGTCGTCAGTAAATAAACAAGACATTTTAATTGTTTGAAATTCAGTTGCATCATGACTTCATAGTTTTTTACTCCTCATTTTTTTAATGTGTTTTTGTCATGAATATAAGAAGTAGAAACAAATTTAAATACAAGATGTTATTAAAGGGAATAGCCTTACTAAAGCAATATTTTTTATGGTAATTGGGGGATGAAAGTGCTTTTATAATTTGTGAAGCCTGTCCCAATAGACAATCAAAGGTCACTTTAACAAAATTAGGCTTCATAGGTTCTGAATTTGATTAAAGTGGTCCATTGATAATGAAAACCTCTCATACACACTAGTAATTAGGGAATAATTAAGAATCTCCTTTTCTCTGACTTGGAAAAATTTGTAATTAGTTTGGATTTATTCAACAATCATTGACATTATTGAGTATTGTCTCTCTTCACTTGTTGAATTGATGTTTGATGTAATCTTCATGTTTTTCAAGTTTTCTGTGTCATCCCGAACAGGAAAAACCGCTCGATCTCTTTTTCAGAGGCCGTTCAGCATGTGCTCGTGTAACAAGTGAAGATTTTTGTGTGTTTTCATCCTATCAGATGAGATGGAAAACAGACCGACAGATATGTATCTTCTGGAGGTCGCTCGCTGCGGTACCAGGCAGGAATTTCATGTCTTTACTAGTTTCGTCTAGTTCAACTTTGTTATATTGAACCACTTAAGAGCACAGACCCCTCTTACTGCACACCGCTGGGTCTCTGTGTCGCACAACGTGCACAATCTAACCGGGCCTTACATGTGACACAAAGTGACAGCACAGGAGGTGAGATCATTTGTGCAAAAATACGTATATCTGATCATTTTTCTTCTGCATATAATCTGACACAGATCCTCATGATCCTGGTGAAATAGAGGAATGAAACGCAGAACAACAGAGAACTACAACAACACGTACATAGAAAATAATGTCAGTTAGTAAACATATTTAAAGCTACAAATCACAACTGTAAATGCTACTGCTTTTACTTTATTTGATTATTTGAATTGTTTAAACAATTGATTTAGCCATTCCAAACATTAAAGGGGACGCATTGAGCATTCTGTTCTTTTTGTTCAGTACAGTTATATATATGATATATATTTTACAAATTCTTGGGAATGTTTTTGCTGCTATTTGAGTAGTTGTTATTTTTGCAGACAAAAAAATGCAAAAATCAGTAAAACAATTTAAACAAGTTAAAGTGTTGCAGAGTGAGGTCAGTTAAAAGTCCTCAGAGATCCTTATGAATAGATTAAAAAGCTCCATATCAAATGCCTTCATAAGTCTTCTGCTGTGGTCCTACAAAACCAGCTATTGTTTCTTTTTGTTCTTTTCATCAAATCTGATTTAAATGACCATTAAAGCAGTCAGGAAGAGTGGTATTTCTTTCACCACAGAGAGCTGCTTAAAATTCTCCTCTCATTTCACAAGGCCAACTCAACACCAGCTGAAATTAGAGCCAGATGAAGCCAAGATGGAAAGAAAGATTTTGTCTCCTGACCGTTTACGCTGCAGCAAAGAGAGATCTGGTCATTTCTATCTGCAGTACGCTCTTTTGTATGACAGACAGGTGTGGTCTGTGTGTCCATCCTCCCGTAGTTTTCCCTGGTGAATGTATGAGAATACACGAGCCATGTATGTGGGCTGGTTAGCATCACTTTTAGCACGCCTACTGACTCAGTGAAAGCACAGGCACAGTGAGTCACCTGAAAGGCCATGAAATATCTGAGAGACTCATCTTCGTTATTTGATCTTCTCTGAGGAAATGGCCCGATATATTTTGCAGTTGTGTACAAAGACAAGAGCCTGCGGCTGGGGTGGAAAGCAGCATTTACTCAACAGACCACCCTCTGCCCCAAACTTCATTACTGCCAGTGAGCAAAAGTAGCTGATAACACAGAACTGGACTGAGGTACAAATGCGAAGTAGTTTTGTTTTCTGTTGTGCTTTAAACTCATTTTCCATGATTAGAAGAGAAATATTGGAAATCTGATGAAGATTTCACAGAGAACTGAACACAAAAGTTAAAAGTATCAATGTTTCCATTCCACTGTTCATATGCTTGATGTAACTGATTAGCTTTTCATACTTTAATTACTAGCTGACCTGACTGAATAAAATATTTTCCATACTTACAATATATTAAATGATACAAACAAACATACAAACATATCATTTATGTTTTAAAGTAGAAATCATAAGAGCCAGGTGATTTTTTACATGAATTCTGTAAGCTCTAAAACAGGTGATCAGTTTAAGGGGTTTTCTTTCTGCTATGGAATATTAAACATACCTGTTGATAACACATGAAAACAAAAATTAATTTAAAACATTAACGTAAATGTTAATACTCGGTGACCCTTCTGGTTCAAAATTTAAATATGACTACACACATTTATTTTGCTTCTTGGATGCAAACAGGAATGATTACATTATCTCTGCTGTTAACAACAACAACCTGTTTCCATCTACCTTTCCATCTACAGGTTGTCCCACTGTTGTGTTGAAGGGAGGGGATCCTCCTTGTTAGGATATATCCAGCTCTAACCAGAAGGAAGAGGACGCAGTAGAACCAAAGCAGGTAATAGCTGTAAACACACTCCAAAGTAACACTCTGTACACAAGGGGTTAACAAACTGTTTCAGGGAACCAAAATACCCACCCATCATCCACTCCCCCTGGAATGGACTGTCCCATGGATTCACATGACGTTTGTGTGTGTGTGTGTGAATTGGAATGACGGAGTGTGTGTGTGCGTGTGTGTGTGTGTGTGTGTTTGTGTGTGTGCGTGTAAGCGTATGCGCGTGTCCCCTTACCCATATAAATTGAGCCATGTGGACCCAGACGTGGAGTTTTGTAGGACTTTCTATAGCCTGTCAGACTATTTGCTCTCTGGTTTTTCTTGCTCCGGTGAATAAAAGCAGCAGGAATACAAAGCTGCCTGCAGACTTCTCTGGACTTCTTGCTTGTGGAAACTGAGGAACTTCACATAATACTTGGCCTCCCAGAAAAATGAGTAACATAATTGAAGATGGCTCTTTCATGTTCACTTCGGAGTCTGTAGGAGAAGGACATCCAGGTGAGTCTCCAGCTTTTTTAGAAGAAAATGCAGATTTAAAAATGTCTTGACTTGTCAACTGATCCCCCCACCCAAAAAAAATTATCAAAATTTCTTTATATATTAAGTCTAGGTAGGACACACATTTGATGAAGCACAGTGTGAGAAGACCAAATGTTAAACATGTGATGCATTTTTACTCTTCAAGCATGTTTGGTATTCCATTCAGAGCAACATGTGTTTACAACCCCCCCTCCACCCTCCACCCTCCACCCTCCACCCTCTCTCACTCATAGGCTACTGGAAGTGAATGTGTACAACATGCTGGTGTAAGCTGCACGCCACAGCGAAAAGTGCAGGAGCGTGAACCATTCACAAGAAAGCCTGTTTTACTTATTAACTAATAATAAAAGTCAAAGTGCAGGCTGTTCTTTACACTGCTGCATGCAGATGGCCCTCGCCCACCCCGTCGGTGTGTTGCAATCCATTTACAAATATGTAATCTTACAAAGTCCCCCGTTCATATTTGATAATCAGTAAATGCCGTATTGCTGTAGAGCAGCTGTGCGGCTTCACAGATAATGAGAAAACGGGACTGTTAGCTCCCAGTCCTCAATTCAAAAGCAATAATAAAAACAAATCCGCTATTTGTCATCTTATTGATACATACATATTTTTATGCTGGAAACACGTTGAAGTTACTGTGTCCCCCTTACAGAGATAAGTTTAAGTGATAAAACTCACGGGGAAAAAATGGTACATTTACAGGTGGTCTGCAGCTGTGGTCGGCAGCAGGACACACCTTTCTGATTTGATAACAAGTCTCAAGGTCTGGACTGTTCCCACAGGCGGCGGACACTTTTTGATGTGTTTGCTTGACACCTGCAGAGAGAAACTCAGAAAAAGCCACTTTAAGTTGTGTGCAGAAGTCCATTCAGCCAGATGCTGATGTTGTGTCTGATGTAACCTGTGTGTGACATTGCGTCAGAAGGATGACAAAGAGGGTTGAAAGGGGTGGTCTGTGAGGCATTGTGCCACGACTGCACCCAGATCAGACAGATGAAAGTCAAGCACCAATCCTCCCTGTTTACCACACGTTTAAATATGTACTTCAAAAATAAAATGGTCTGTTGTTAATCTTGTACAAAACAACCTGCAGCACTGATGCTCTAATATGGAGATTTGCTTTTATACAAACAGCAATCCTCTGCCTGCTGGATGAGCAGGGTGGAAAATCCTAGTTTAGCTATTAAATGGATATTTACAGTGTCTGTTTTGGATAGAAACTATTGCTGAGGTCTATTCGTTTCCTCCTACAGATAAGATTTGTGACCAGATCAGTGATGCGGTGCTGGACGCTCACCTGAAGCAGGACCCTGATGCCAAAGTTGCCTGTGGTGAGCAAACTAGAAATAAGAAGTTCTTTTTAAACACATAAAACACATAAAGATTTTTGAGATATCGTTTTTAGGAACCAAGTTTTTGTTGGGTTCTGGTTTTAAGAAGATAGCTGCCGTTAGCTAGCTGGTGCAATCAGAAAACCCTTAAAAAATGCTCAAAAATCACTGTGTATTTTGTGTGTCCGCCGTGCCTGCAGAGACGGTTTGTAAGACGGGCATGGTCTTGCTCTGTGGTGAGATCACATCTCGGGCCAACGTGGATTATCAGAAGGTGGTGAGGGACGCAATCAGACACATTGGCTATGACAACTCAGATAAAGGTGAGAAAAACAACTTGCAAAGGTTTTATTTGCTTCCTGCACACCAGCTCTAAGCTGCCCACTTTCCATCAACAGGTTTTGACTATAAGACATGTAATGTGCTGGTGGCCCTGGAGCAGCAGAGTCCAGACATCGCTCAGGGCGTCCATGTTGACAGACATGAAGAGGACATCGGCGCTGGTGACCAGGTGGGACAATTACAAGAGGAGAATCTATCATGTGGCTGATCTTGGCTTGAGGGCTGTGTGATATTGTAGAAGAGATTAATATATATACTCAACCCAGTAATATATATTCCAGGATTTAACCATTTCTGGTGGAATAAACCATTACAAAGCCTTAAAGTCAGCTGTAGTTGAATATGAATATAGATAATGTAATTAAATAATACGATGGGAAGTCCTCCAGTTATAAGAAGACATCATTCAGATGTTCTAAAGAAATGTGCTAGTATACAGAACAAGTGAGATTAAAACTAATGCATTAGGTCTCTGTCTTTACTTTAGTTTCAGATATCTTATGTATAGAAAACCAGTTGACCACTGAATCAGAGCTATTGTCTATTTTTTCCATTGCTTAACTTTTATTATGGATCTTATGGATCGTTAACCCTTCTCTGCTGATGATTTAACTGATCATTACTCTGTGGTTTTGTCCCACTCTCTCTCTCCTCTGCAGGGTCTAATGTTTGGCTATGCCACAGACGAAACAGAGGAATGCATGCCTCTAACCATCGTCTTGGCACACAAACTCAATTCAAAAATGGCTGAACTCAGACGCAACGGCACTGTCCCTTGGCTTCGTCCTGACTCTAAAACTCAGGTGACATTATCTGTACAATGCTTGAACAAATTGCCTTTTTTTTATTCCCAAAGCAAATGCAACACAAGGCAGCCTTTTCTGTGCAGCTGCTTTCTTCTCTGCACTCTTAATGTCTTGCAAGGGATTAATTTCGGTGCCAGCGTGCAAAATCGGATCAACAGTAGCTGTTGCAAGTGTTTAAGATAAAGCTGTCTGCCCAGGAATAATATACTTCTGACTGCCTCAGAGGCAGTTTGCTGATGAATGCAACTCTTTGATATAAACTCACTAATACTTTGGTTTTACCAGGTCAAAAGTGCAGCCAAATTTCTGAAAAAGCTGGGATACTGTACAAAGTATATTTTGGGAACAGAAAATAATTGTCTGATAATCATTTATAGAAATGCATTGGGGGGAAACCTTCTTCTCTTGAGAACACTTAAAAACAGCTAAAATATGAAGTTAGAACACAGTTTTAGCAATTTAGTATCAGCACAAATTTTTAGGCTCCGTCCTTCCTTTACTAACTTTGGTGTTTGTCTTCGTCCAACAGGTGACGGTACATTATGAACAGAAGGACGGAGCTGTGATCCCAAAGAGAGTTCACACCATCGTGATCTCTGTCCAGCACGATGACTTTGTCTCCTTGGAGGAGCAGCAGAGGGTCCTGAAGGAAAAGGTATTCACCTCAGCTGGTTTTATGCAGCAGAAATAAAGTCAGATAATCTGTATTCTAACGCTGAATTGTTCCAATCAGGTGATTAAAGCTGTGGTCCCGGCTAAATACCTGGATGACAAGACCATCTACCACCTTCAGCCTAGTGGTCGCTTTGTCATTGGAGGACCCCAGGTTAGCAAGACTCACAAAAAATTATGCAAAGTTAGCTCATGTGTTTTCAAAGTTAATTAGCTCAGCATACCTGTTTCTAGACAAAACACGTAGACTTAAATTGTAAATTTTAGGCCAGGGGGTGACACCAGAGGTCAAGTCGCATGTTCAAAAAAATCAAACAGTTTAAAGAGTCATCTTTTTCTTTTTAACCAGCACAACATTTTCTTTACAAACACATTTTCATTTTGATGTTCAAACAAAATTAATTCTACATTATTAATTATCATTATATTAATTGATATTAAAGGTTAGTATAACTTAGTAATAAAAGACAATAACACAACTGCTGCATATTGTTTATACATTTAGCTCAAAATACATGGAAATCGACATTTTGTGGATCACACACAACAGGAACACCATTATATAATCTTTTGGGTTAACTTTCAACAAGAGGGTTTAACATATAAACAGCCTAGTTAAAGAACCACATATGCACTGAGCTTTTTAAAAATCATTTGAAAGGTTGAACTTGCCCTGTATGAATCTAATTTAATCTTTAACTTTGTAATGAGCATTTCAAGATTATAGAAATTAATTTTTTACAACAAAAACTTCTGCTCTGCACATACTTGATAATCCGTTGCTTGAGATTGACCTCATGCCTTTCTTGAACTGATGTATTTATCTTATTTCATGCAGAAAGATGCTTATTCAGGTCAGTCAAGGTTTTTAGTCTAATGCTATCCAGCTGTGTGCTGGAATGGATCTGCCTCTCTGTTTAATTGGCCAAAGAGCATAGAGCAGTAGAGTTCAAACTGGACTCACACACAGGGTTTTGTGGGTAATTCTTCAACCGAGCAAGAAGACGTTCATCTTATTCTTCTCTATCTTTTTTTTCCACACATTAGGGTGATGCTGGTGTGACTGGCAGGAAGATTATTGTGGACACATATGGAGGCTGGGGGGCTCATGGTGGCGGAGCTTTCTCTGGCAAAGACTTCTCAAAGGTCGACCGCTCTGCTGCTTACGCTGCCCGCTGGGTGGCCAAATCCCTGGTGAAAGCCAAACTGTGCAGGAGAGTTCTGGTTCAGGTAAGAAACAAGGCTCCATTATACAATAAGTCATTCAAATAACCCACGAGGTCTGCAGCTTTTAGGGGACAATGGTGTTGTTGTTAAAAATACTTATTTCTGCCCCTTCGTGACACAGGTGTCCTATGCTATTGGAGTGGCCCGGCCTCTGTCCATCTCCTTGTTCACATATAACTCCTCCAAGAAATCAGAATCAGAACTGCTCAAGATTGTCAACAATAATTTTGATCTGAGGCCAGGAGTCATTGTCAGGTAATGGGAAGTGTTCGGTTGTTGTCAGTTGCTTACATTTACTCAAAAATAGATGAAATGTTCAGAAATGAGTTGCTGTTTTCTGATTCAGCCACTAGGTGACACCAAAGTAAGCTGCAGTCCCATTTGGTCCATATTTTAAATGATTAATAACTAACTAATAACTTTGTGGATATACATCAGTGTTTATTTCAAGTATGGCTTACACTGTCAAACAAATGTTTGTCAAATTTTTATTGCATTTCTTTTGCACCGTCAGAAACACAGTAAACATAAAGCAACATTCAAGACTACATACTTTTTACACAGTGTCTTTCCCTATAACGCCCCTTGTATGATGTCTGTTCTTGACGGAGGGTTCCATCTTTTTTTTTTTTTAACTTCTGCAGGGATCTACAGCTAAAGAGGCCAATCTACCAGCAGACAGCCTCTTATGGTCACTTTGGACGGCCAGAATTTTCATGGGAGGTTCCCAAAAAGCTTGTCATCTAATAACTCCACCTGCCTGTCCTGAACACCCCCCACCCTCCCATGGAGACTGAACAAGGGGCTTCCTCATGGGCTGCGACTTCCATCCCCACCAACTAATTTAACATGTTTTATGGAGAGATTTCAAGCCAAAGCTAGAGATAAACAAGAAGACCCGATAGAGTTGCATGCAAATTTCTTCCTCCTGTTCTTTTCCAGAACTCAAAATGTCCAGTTATTGGTGCTTGAACATGTCGGTACTGTAACAAGTCAAAGGCCACACCACAGCAAGATCAGTACTCTGAAGATACTTCGACACTATTGGGAGCAGTGTGTGGAACCTCACAGCTGTAAATGTTGCTGTATGAGGTCAGTGTGATGTACAGGACAGCTTTAGAGGTCTGTTTTCTTCTGGGGTGCCGCTGATGGCACAACGTATTCCATCAGTGACTATAACCGTACGAGGTATGATTACTGCTCAACCAAAGACTTGGCTTTAGAAAATTCTATTTTTTTGATGATGCCTTTTGTGAGTCTGAGGTTGTAATTTGTGCTACACGAAGCTGTGTGCACTGTTACAGTCACTATTAAACAAGAGGACAGGTCATTAAGTCACAGAGTAGCTCTGATCTTACAAAAAGGCTTGTTACAGTTCAATTTAAAACAGCCTCCTGGGCTTTTTATGTTGTCACACCACTCTTTTTTTCTCCCTACTGTTGTATGACTAAAGATGAAGTTGCCTTTGTCACAGAAGAGCTCAACTAATGAATGTTGTCAATTTTGTTTTTCAATGGCTTCTTTAAAAATGATTAATTTTAGCAAATTTAAGGAAGTTTTAAACTTGTCTTAATTGACGATCGGTTTCTGCTGTCTTTGATTACCAAACTGTTGAAACACTAAGTGGACCACTGATGTCTTAAAAGTTTTTTACAATGAAATGGGTGGAAGTTTATCGGCTGCATTGCAGATGCAGACTTGCCTTAATTTTACACGGTCGGCTTCACTATTGTCTTAATGCAAAAGTTATCAGAATCTAAAAAGAGTCCAAACTGTTGAGTACATTTTTTTTCTTCATTGTCAACTCCCCGGCTAAATATTTTGGTTTGGAGAGAAAAGAGGCAGTAGTTTATTACAATTTCTAACAGGGTATTGATAGATGTTTAGTTATAAGCTTTCACTATTTATCTAATTACGTTCAAGTTAATTACCTCTGACAGGAAGAAGAAAGTATTCAGATTAAATCCTCATGTCTATCAAAAAATGAAGGTTTAATGTCAGCATAGCAACTTTTGCTTTCATCTTTCCCCAACATTGTTTGTTTAATTTGAGATTTCCTCTATTTAAAATATTATCAAACTCTGCCTTCCTCTCTGCTATGCCCAGTTTGTTGGTGGAATAGCTGGACAATGTAAATAATTAAACAATAAAAAAGAAAAGATATGAAGAATTGTCTGACCCTTTTTAAAACTTACTCATGTGATGTCTGATATATTTAGCTGCTTTCATTATTGATCAATAACACTTAAGGCATGTTGCATGTGTATATTTGTATTAGTCAAAACATTCTGTGAGAAGTCACGAGGAATTTAATTTAAAAACGCTATTCTCAGGAAGAAATTGTAAGCTATTATTTTTTACACTTTTTATAATTTACATTTGTAAACGGAATGCCGTTTCAAATATCTGTTTCATTCATGAGACGCAGGGAAAAAAAGCAGCGAGTAAAAACCAAGTTCCTACAAATTTGGAAACATTTGCTTCCTCTTTAAGACCAGTGGAAAAACGCTTAATACACAAATTAATGTTTTTATTTAATGAAAAATCCACACATGAAAATATTCTACATCATTTTCTTAGCAAACGAAATCCAAACACCAGTGATGGGACAACTGCACTCTACTTGTACTTTTTCATATTTATTGACCATGTATAGTATGTATACCATCATATGACTTTGCATCAAAACATAATTTACAACCCAAACCTCTTTGGTTGTCAATATAATACATAAGGCACAGGGAATATTTTGCCCTTCAATGAACAGGGTACCAAATATCATATTTTTCTGAGGTTTGTAGATTCTGAATGCATTTCCAGAAAACTCTCACCAATGATCTGTTGGTTGCAGGAGTATTACTTGTTTTGTCATTTTGGCAGATATTTTATCACTTTTGCATGAGCAGCACAAGGATTGTTTACATGTTACAGTCATGGGAACTAGACTTTTAAACTTTACAGAATCTTGATTAACAAAAATAATCTATTATATAATGGCTAACATCAGCCCTATGACTGAAAAAGCAGTTGCACCCATAACAAAAAAAACATCTACAAATAACACATTTCCATTTTCATGAACAAACACACCAGAAGGCAGAAGCTAACAGATTTAAATCTGCTTTCAATCAAATTATGTTGCTGGTGATGGAACGTTTTCCTGAGTGCAAAGATCATCAAACATATCTACAAACATGAAAACAAGGACAAAGAATGGAGATGCTGACATTAATGTGGGGAAAGATGTATGGCAGATGAATCAGAAAACGAATCTGTCTTGAGTCCTCGAGTCCATGAACACAAAATTTTTGTTTTAGTCTATAAAACATCCTGTAAGCTGAGCAAAATCACATCTGAATTGAAGACAAACTGTGCAATGAGCTATTTGATCAGCAGAGGGGAAGTGATCAGTGTTAGTGTATCTGCTCTCCAGCTCATTCCTTTGTGCAACTGCTCCAGCTTCCATTCGGTCTTGATTAGAGTCAGAATTTAGTGTGTGAGAGAGGCCTCCTGCACGTTCCGTAACAGACACTGAAACTACATTTAAAAACACTTCATGAAACTGCTGTCACCAAGATAATGAGGAATAAGCTAACTTCTGCTAAACGGGGGGGGGGGGGGGGGGGGGGGGGGGGGGGGGGGGGCTGGCAGGCACTTACTGCTGCAAACTCTCTTGGTTTCCCTGGTTTTCTACACCTTGGTATGTTGATGTCATATTAAAAAGCTCTTTCTCTACACACTTCTATTCCCGGCCCATGGACCTTCTGCTCCGAGCAGTCAGTGACTAATCCACCATCTAATCTTATTGCTCTGATCTTTCAGCTAATACAGATGTGGAAATGATGGGACAAATCCTTTTGAAGTATCACCATCCGTGCCACAGAATTTTACAAAAATCTTAACATATCAATGGATGTTATAAAAAGTACAGAGGTTCAACTATACATCTTATTTTGCCACCCTCATTTTGCCCTTAGTAATGCCACACCTATTACAAATGCAGAAAAAACACAACAATTTTAAGCCTAACAGAGAAGGGAGGCAGGTAAACCAAACAAAAAAAACATTCTTTTTGTCCTTGATGGGAGATAACAAGATGCAGACCTTCATTGCTGGGACCTGAAAACATGTTTGATGTCTCATTACCAAACTCAATAAACCCCGTGCTCTGGCATGAATTAGCGAGTACACGTTTAGCCTCTGGATGCTCTTTCCCCACTGACGGAAAGATGAGTCCAGTATTCTTCAGTCTAGTGTACCTAGTGCTCTGTGCACTGAGCAGGAAAGACACTTTGCTTAAAGAAAGAGTTCCGACATTTGAAGGCACCAGGTCCATTCCATGCTCCCTGTGAGTACTAGAAATAAGGATATAACATTAGAAATGCTGCACTCTGGGCATGAGTACCAAGGAAGTTTTAAAAAACATAACTGAAGCTGCACAAAAAAATAAATGTCACATGTTTTAAAGAAGGATGGCCTATCAGGCACCAACAAGGCACTTCATTATCTTTACTTCCATCCAAAAATATTCAATTTCCATTAAGCCTTGGTCAGTGACTCCTGAGAACAACCTGGGCGTTTAGCTTTGAAGTGCATTTATCTTTGGCATGAAAGAAACACACAGATGTAAAAATGAGACAAGAGTAGCTGAAAACTCTGAGGAGTTGGGTGTTATTCGTAGAGATTGTAGATACCAGAAATACTGCTGAACCGAGTGTGTCACCGATTTTTTAAATACAGCATGCCGCCAAGCTAATTCTGTTTACCGTTTGACAGACAGGACCCCACAGTATCACCTGAACATTGTCATCCTTCTGTTTAAAAGCTGTGAAACTGTCAGCTGGGCTGTCCAGCAGCCTCACTTCTTTGAGTCTCTAAAGAAGAAATGGTCCAAGGTGCCTAACTGAGACAGCTCGCAGCATCTCAGGGACCAGCATACATTTTCATCTTCTGACTAACAAAATACCCCTCTGCTGCCAGCCACTGATGACAGGAAGGCAAAGGGGAGCTTGGTTTCACACTTGTGTAATGTGCAAAATGCAAACGTGTTCTTTGGAGACAAAACGCCCGATGTGAAGACGATACTGAGTGAGCTCTCCACTGTGGCAGCAGATCGATGCCCGCTCCAGGGATGCTACATTGGCCTGGTTTTATTTCATAGCTTTGGACGAATGGGGGTTTTAATGAATAATTCAATTCATTCTACAATGAGTTTAAATGGAATAGACGAAGCAAATGGCAAAGGGGCCGGGTGGCTACAGCATGGACATGTTTTCGGGCTGGTGTGAGTGTGGAAGGGGTCCTCCCAGCCCTCCAAGCGAGTCCATCTTGTGCTCTCTCCCGGCAGGTCCCAGGGAGCCTCCTCTGGCCAGCACCACCATGGTGTCTGTTGACATGCTGGCGAATTCAAAGGCAAATGTCCCGTAAAACAGCATGATGATGACGCAGAACACCCACTCGAAGATGGCCGAGGTGTGCTGCAGGACGAAGCTCTCCTGACAGAAAAACACACCACCTGAAAACCCGGTTAAGGAAAAGCAGTGTTGGAACTAAAAAGCAGCCCTGAAATGACAAGTAGCTTCTTCGGCGCAAACATTGCTATTTACTCTTATCTAGAAGTAATATTTACTACATCAATTTTTATTTTAATCAAACAAACAGGAGTTAAACCTTCAATTATTCAATTATGCGCCTGTTGGGCGCTTCTCAGAGCAGATATAAACCTGTAAAACTCATATAAGAGGTTGAATGGAACGATCCCTAGGGCAGATTTGCCACTAAACTCTGTAGTACTCCTTTTCTCCATCTCTCTGCTCAGAAATACATCTTATGTCAGCTGCCATCAATCAATCACCAGAGAGGATACTGAGCACCAACGCTATGAAGGCCAGGAGGGTCATAAAAAGTCGGAGATGGGCCATGTTGTACTCCCCCTGTGTCTTGGCCAATCTGTAAGTCAAGGCAGACTGCAGGCACACGAACAGCATGCTGGTGGGGAAGGCGATGCCTGCTCCGACATAGTGGAGAACTTTGGCATTATCCACCTGTCAGGTGAGAGAGGGTAAAGAAGAAAAAAGGTCTGAATTAACATGGGCATCAGTGACATCATACCAGATCTTTAGGATAACAATCATTACCCCACAACAACAGCGAGCTCAGCACCAAGCTGATGCGTCAGATCATTCAGCATTAGTAAACTGCAGGTGGAAAGATGCAAAAGAGAGTACCGATAGCAGTGGGTACAACATAATGCCTTCTTTGCACCGCTGCTCACAAGAGCTATAAAGAACAATACACAAAAGAGCTGCTCAGGAGCATGTGACCACGGCTCCCTCTGAAGGGTCCACATTCTTACACACAGAGCTCAGAAACACTGATCTGAACAGATAAGAGCCAATGGGGCATTAACCAAACATTTTGGAATGACTCATTTAGAAAGATGAAAAAGAATTGCTTTTCTTGGCTGATACTTGAGGGTCAAAAGATGTCAGTTATTTAAAAGTCCCTCTGGGGAGCAATAGCCTTGAAGTTATGTCATTTTGGCTTCGAAGCTATTTGTCCACTGACCCCGCAAATGCATACTGAGCATTCTCCAGCATTCCTGTGAAATAGGTAGGGCCTGGAGTGAATAAGTTAAA